GACGTTTGGCAGATCTGACTTGTAGACATTTCATGGGGGGGGGGGGGCGTCATGTAGATCAATTAATTTTTTTTTAGAAACTCAAAATCTCAGTGGGGGGCGACTGGGGGGGGGGGGCGACAAGGTTTCATGGGGGGGGGGCTGTCGCCCCCCCCCCCCACGCCCCCCGTGGCTACGCCACTGCGTCAGAGCCAGACTCAAACAACAACAACTGTACAGGCGCACCAGTTTCTTTAGTTTAACCTCGCTATGCCATTCCCATACCCGAAGCGGTTATCGGTGCACGAATGTTGCGTCGTGATTATGGTCCTTTCACATTCTTCGGCAACTTCATCATGTCCCTTGTAAGGAGGGACATGGATTTTGAGTGCAGTTTTTTAAATGAAAAATAAAAAACAAACTGGAAAAACAACTGAAAGACCCACATTGCGACCTAGGTACCTTAGACTTTAGTGTGTGACGTCAGATTCATAAATGATGACGCTTTTATATCGGTATATGGCACGGGTTAGGAGCAATGACTTCAGGGGCGTGTTTCAGATTTTAGGACACGGGTGGGTGGCCTATGATGCTTTATTCCAGGTTTTAGACTTTGTTAATTCCATATAAGGAAATTACATTAGTTGTGACGTCACAGACGTAGCGTTTATTTTTTGCAGACTCGTTCCTGACGTGTGACGGGGGGGGGGAGAGTCGTCAAGGCTGACAATAGTTTTCGTCGCCGTAGGCCTACATTTTGTGTGCCCACCTATACGTGCATCTGTAGCCCATTGTATGCATAGCTGCTCGAGGTTATCTTACAGGTCGATCTGTTGTGAATTATTAACCAGAATTAGGTTAGCATGAGGAAGGACGGTCTCGGATCCCTACTTCCATTATATATTAAAGAAATTGATTAAAGCTAAACTTGTCTCCTAAGTGTTGTTGACACTGGTATAAGTCCATTGGAATGCAATATCAAAGTAGTCCGGCCATATACAGCAGGCCATGTGCGCCATGTGCCGTAAGAAGCATCAATGATCGTAATTGACGCCACCAAAAGATTCCAGTTGCCTAAATCTCATCTTTACAACAAGTCACATACATACGTTTGTACACCCACAGAGGCGCACCCAGGTTTTGGTGGGGGGGCACACTTTTGTTTCCAATTTTTTTTTAAGTTACTTTGTTTCAAAAATCTTGCCCAAAGTTTTGGCCGCAGAAAAAAAATAGGGATTTTTTTTTGTGGCGTTTGACGTTGGTGGCGCCACTTACACCCCTATTATACTGCTAGAAAATAGGCCACATACATACCAAGGTCAAATTGAGGTACTAAAAAAAATTCTAAAAAATAAATAAATAAATTACAACCTCTTGGGGGGGGGGGGGAGCTCAAGCCCCCCCCCCCAGGACCCCCCCCCCCCCCCCCCCCTTGGGTGCTCCACGGTTTGCACAAATAGTAAGGTCAGATACTGACATAAAGTTATAACCGTTTTCAAATATGGAAAAGTTCAAGAGTAATACAGAATATTAAATGTTCCATGAATGAAACAAAATAAACGACAGTCAAAATTTGGTCGATTATTAATATTATCAAGAATTTGATTCCTTTCCTTCCCTGTATACTGACAGTTAGCTTGTACCTGGACAGGGTGAGCAAAACAAACGAAACCCAAATGTCGGGACAGTAATAGTGAAGTTCTGCATTTAGCACCCTCAAAATCTAGGATATAAAAGCCCAATTCATAAGCTTTGTTTTAGTACAAGAATCATTCAAATCACTTAAGTAATTTTTAAGTTACGGAATTTTAAACACAACCACCGTTTTAAAGGTGTGTTCTTTCAGCGAAACGAAAACAAAACACATAGCCTATAGGCCTAGGGACGTGTGAATTGTTTTCGTTTTGCTGAAAGAATTACGCATCCCTTTTTTTGTGATCGGTGGATAGAACTTTGAAACGGGTGGTTGTGTTTAAAACTCCGTAACTTGAAAAGTACTAAAAGAGAGCTTATGAATTGGGCTTTCATATCCTAGATTTTGAAAATGCTACATGTAGAACTTTACTAAAACAATGGTCCCGCCATTTTAGGTTTCGGGTTTTTTTTTCACTCACCCTGTATATCCTAATGGTTATCATTCTTTTGAAAATAAAAAAAATTGAATCGCTTTTTACCCCACAGAAACTAAAACTGTTCCTACCTTTGTTTGACCTAACGTGTCCGTATTTTTACGCTGCTGCTTGACAAAATAGTTTACTGTCGCCAAATCCGACCAACATTGATGTTTGAAGGCGATTTGTAGAGTGTATCAGGCTAGCTGGCTAGCTACACCAAGGCTATTCCTTCTCCATAGTTTACATCCGATGGTTTGGGCGAATAGCTGGTTAGTTGTGACCTCGGCGCATGCTGTGTGAAGGATGACGCGATGGAAACTATAGCAAAGTCACCTGAAGAGTGACTTTACTAGATTTTCTAAGGTGTGTCTGTTGATTTAGTGAGTATGTAGGGTAATATTCATTCGCACAAATATTGTTTTGTTGATTGAAGGAACAATACGATAAATCTGAAGTATGTTAAACAAAAATAGTACGACAAAGTTTTAACTCATTAGGTATACTTTTTGAGAAAATTACTCCTTCATTTTTTTCGCACCCTGTTGGTAATTCCTCCCCCCCCCCAAAAAAAAAACCACCCCAACAACAACAGCATACTGCATAATTTCTCATGATAGGCGTAGTAATTTCACAGGATGCATGATCTTATTATTGACCTACGATAAAGTAGGTACGACAGTTTCATTTCGAATGTTTGCAAAGGCGTCCATTACCTAATTCAAAAAGCTCTAAAACCAATTGATTTCGTTATGAATAATGTACTCAAATTCATGTGGGAGTTCAATACGACTGGTTCTATTTATTGATTTTTTCATGTTTGTTGTATCTATACTACAATTCAAGGAATCTCTGTCTGTCTGTCTGTCTGTCCGTCTGTCTGTCTGTCCGCCGATTATCTCCAGAACTGGGCACCGTATGGAGTTGAAAATCGGCGGGTGCATTGTTCGGGACAACAGAATGTGCAGTGCCGAGTTTGAAGTAGTTTGGACGAGGGGTTCTCGAAAAAGCTGCAAAAACAACAGTATTTTCTGAGACCTAGCGCGCCAGAATATAGCCTAGAACTCCGCGCACTGCCGTTCTTTTATATTGTTTACGTCATGTTAAAGCAAGAGCGCGCGTGCTCAATATGACGCAAACAATGCAAAAAAGACATGGGCACATTGTAGGGCGATAGCACTGCACACCATGTCTTCGTACGTTAGTGGCATGCACGGGCACGGGCACATGCATTTTGTAGTCAACTGAGCAACCATCACTGCACTGTATGTAGGCGGTCGACTGAGCAACTCTAATACAATATGGTATCGCCCTACAACTACGCCCTACAGTTGGGCAATACCATATTGTCCAGTAGGGGTAAATATCAGTGTCGGGGGTTGACGACATATTGTGCGTTTAACTTGCGAGTGTGCGTTCACACCATTGAATAATGTGCGTTATTTGCACGAGCTGCAGTTCTCAGCTGCCCCCTCCGAACACGCACATTTTCGACTGGCCCTGCACTAGTTACTATAAATTAAAAAAAAAATCTAAATTGCACTAAGTTTTACAGTGCGTCATGCGTATATGGCATGTACGCGCATTGATATTGGCACATCATGTCATTCTTACCAAACCTTAGACTATAGTTCCCGCCCCTAAAAAATACGGGACAGGTAATAGCTCAAATTTTAAGCCACTGATTGAATCACCTCTGCACGCACACAGAATGATTTTTTATTTTTGAATCACTATTCAACTTTGTGCATGGACGATACTTGAACACAATGGTTATCAAAAAACTGCTTACCACAACAAAGTAAGCAATATTGCCAGTGTCTCCATGAAGGCAACTTTCAAACATTTAACTGCATTTAAATCTGAAAAGTAATGTCCCTCTCTTTATTAGTAGTTGCCAGAGACACAACACTCATAAATGAATTTTTGGGGTCTATTGCCATATTGCAAAAGGCTGGTTCTGCGCAAATATTACCGTTAGAGAGCCTATAAGTTTATAGTTTTGCTTATTTACGAAATAATGTCACTGTGGTTAAAAAATTAACGGGCGGCCCGTACGGTCGTGTAATTTTTGTTAATGCAGTCCCAGGGGCGGATCCATGATTTTTTTTTGCGGGGGTGGGGGGGGGGGGGGGGGGTGGGGTGGGTGGGGGGGGGGGGGGGTGGGTTTCATCAGCGAATCAATGCTGAAATGTAGACAGTTCACTTGGCAAGTTGGCCTCCCTAAAATCAATAGGTGCAGGGGGGGGGTGTCTTGTGCCATGTTTTCAATGAGGGCGTTGTTAAAATTCCACCATCGTTAACACTGTGTATAATTACAAAATAAATTTAGGTTTACATTTTTCTTTTCAAAATGCACTTCGTCAGAAAAAAATACTTCAGGGAAGACCGATTCAAAAGAGGTAGGTTTTCATTTGAAGCTATCCAGAACTATGAAAAATCTGGAACTAGGAAAACGACTGTACAACGTCTGGACCAGGTGTTCCGATCCTGAGGCTGGGCTCCCGAGGCCAGATGATTTATGGCCAGAGCATGAGCGACGGAGGCGGGCGAACTTATGACTGCAAATATTACTTTTCAATATGATGTTGGCCGTGTTTCTGGTGAAAGTTGCATGGTCCAGTCTAATTCTACCTCCATGGTCCAGTGAACCTTCGCATCGCTTTTGAAACTATAACGTTTCAGCAGTTCATCAACAAATAGCAATGTGACAAGGATTGTCAACTTTGAGGCGATATATGAATTCAAAGCATTATGTTTTGTATTAAAAATCTTTAAAGCAGTCCCCCCCCCCCGAAATAACGCCGAAGCTGGTGACGACTACGAAGTTTGAAAAAGGTATTTAGTATCTAGAACCTTGACTTGTTACACGGTAACAACTGTGTATGCCTGTAAAGGTGTACTGCTAAAAATAATAGTTACATCACATGCACACGAACACACGCACAGTGGGTCGTTTTAGCCTAAAAACTGCGTTTTCTTTGCGTTGATTATGATACAATATTTTCCGCGATTTTGATAAAGGAAATCTGTTCCATACAATCTTATAGCTCAAATTGAAATGGCTCTGCGAAATGCCTGGAGAAGCTCTTTGAATTTCCATTGTAATCGGCAGTGTTTGATTCAGGGGTTTTCCTTTGCGAGCCGGTTTTGTAGTCGAAAACCTCGTCATGTCCTGGATGTTATCCATCAAAATGCCATGAATGTGAGTAGTGTTAACAGTTGAATATTTCTTATTTGTGCTGTACTGGCCTAGTAAATAGTAGCAGGTCATCAGAAATAGTTCTATTTTGAGTTGCCACATGCAAATGTTGGGCTTTTGAATTGTCATTGTCTCTTTTTATTTGGGCAAATGTTGGGAGGGGGGTGTTGTTTAATATCTTTATTATGATCAGACTTTCTTTTCCTCAATAAAAGGTCCGACACACTACATCATCGGCACTGAGCTGCACCAAGAGACTAGGACAATTCTTCAAGTTACCGCAACTGTCCAGATTGTACTCTCGTTACCCAAGGGTAAGTTCACATAATCTCTCTCAACCTCCGTGACCCACTTGCGGGTACCTGAATTCTTGAATCCTAGAAAAAGACACCAGTGTCGAAAGAAAAGTATCTGTCAGATTTCATCAAATTTTTAGACTTTTTATCAGAGTGATAATATCCCTGACCTGTATTAACTGTAGGGTCTAAGAGATGTTGGGGTGGGTGGGGGGGGGGGGGGGGGGGGGGGGGGGGAGAGAGGTAACGTTAAATTATTGAACACTTCGATACCAGTTGTTGTGCACATTAATCTGTAAACCACGTTGTAGTTGAATACTCCTTGCCCTCAGGTATTGTAAATTATTGATTAGTATTTGTTTTTTCCTGATTGTTGCGTTTGTATTCAGAGTCAGCAGATATTTCAGCATGCCAGTCGGCGTTTTCAGAGCAATGGAGTGGCAGAGGCACAGCCGACCGCAGCTATCCCAGCACATGCACAGAAGATTGTTGGCTGGTGGTTGCTGGGCTGCTGTGGTATGGTGGTGGGTGCTGTAGTACTGGGCGGAGTAACAAGGTAAACAAAAGGATCATTTGCAGGAAAAACATTTCCTGTTAAGGGCGCTCATACTGATCAGCTACCGTCAAATGTCGTCAACTGCCACAGTTACCATCAATTAATACTGTCAACCTCTTCAAAACACACTCTTATGATAGACTTGTGGTTAGGGGGTGTGCATGGGAACCGGGTGCCTGAGTACCCAACCGCTATCGTCAGGAACCGGTTCCAGATTATGGGATCGGGTACCCGTAACCAACTTTACAAATTACTTCTCAGACAAAAGAACAGTTTGGAACTGCCATTTGTGGGGAAGTTTCAAAATGAAAACCAGGCCTCATGGAAAGCCAAAACAGATTTCATGCATTTTAACCACACAACAGATGACGCTTGTGAAAGTTGCAGTTAACACCATAAAGCTAGAAAACCCTGAATTTTTGGGTTGGTTTTCTTTTACAGGGAACTTCGAAAGGGTGCCCAGTGCTACTCCTAACTGTACACTGGCACTAGTCATAGGCCTCATTGGATGATTTCCAACTGCTCTCCAAATTTGTTCGAACTAATTAGATATGCTCAGTCCGCATGTGAACCATGCATATATGTATGTGTTCTACATAATCCCTGAGGACCGACACACAAAAGGAGAACAAGAGATCCTTTCAGTCCTTGGGCGTTGGGTCTTTTGTTGAAAACGGTCCTCTTTCATACGGTTATGTGCTTAGACTATTGGAGAGTGTTATATTACAGAGACAAAGCATTGTCCTCGAGAGTATAGTAAAACACGACTGTCAAGAAGGAATATGACGCACTGCACGCGACAGCTCAGTAGCGATTGTGCCAAGTCTCTTCGTCTGAGTGATGTGTACATGTCTAATTATTTTACCTCTGCACGGTTGATTTTTCAGGTTGACAGAATCTGGTTTGTCGATGACTGACTGGCACCTGATCAAGGGAATGAAACCCCCACGGACCCAGGAGGAATGGCAGGCGGAGTTCGACAGATACAAGCAATTCCCAGAATACAAGTAGTAAGTTCATATTTCAAATCAATACTTATAACAAAAAACTGATGGCCTACTAGGCCTGCAACTATTAATAGGTTATTCAGCGATTTGTTTGGGTTCTTTATTCATCAGCAACCATTTAGTGAAAGAATAAAGTTTCTTTTCAGAAAGCCCAAGCATACACTCCTTAAAAAAGTTCTCAAGCCAAAAAAACTCAAAATGTCTATGTTCAAATCTCGTCTAGGTTTTTGACACCAAACAAACCCTTGCCATTTTAAAAAACTGGGCTCGATAACCAGCTTTGGCTTTCACTTTACATTGATTTCTCAGTGTGCACCGTGACATCACATTGGATGAGTTCAAATGGATTTGGCGCATGGAGTATGGCCATCGTATGTGGGGGCGCACTATCGGCCTGGTATTCCTCCTTCCCGCTGCGTATTTCTGGAGGAAGGGTTGGCTGACAAAAGCCATGAAACCCAGGGTGCTCATCTACGGATCTTTACTGCTGTTCCAGGTGAGAACTTAACTGGTACCCACTACCCCAGCTAAAGGTATTATTCTATCTTTGTGCTCGGACTGGATAGACTCTCACTGGATAGATTTTGTTTAACTGGTAACCAAGGATCAATGAGTCTCATATGAGGTTAATACCACTATTTTCCATATAAGGAGAATTTTAGCACAACACGTGTTAGGCACTACCATAGCCATGGCCAGAGGGGTATTTCACAAAACTTGAAGTAAAATTGTTCAACAAAATTCTTGAAAATTTGTGAATTTTTCTTGTTTGGACTTTATGAACTGGAAATAGGCTTTCAGCTAGGGCCATTATCTGCGTCCAGGCCCCCTAGCTAGTAATTGTTTGAAACTGGCTAAGCAAATAAATACATGTATTCCCTAAGTAATAGTTTGTGTGCTCAATTATCATCTGCCAATCTTATAAAGCAGTGTTTTGTTTTGCCTGTATTGGCTGATATCTAATCGTGTTTCACACACAGGGTCTGCTCGGCTGGTACATGGTCAAGAGTGGTCTACAGGAACCACAGCCTACTGACATGCCTCGTGTCAGTCAGTACAGACTAGCTAGTCATCTAGGATCTGCTTTTGCTCTCTATGCACTCATGCTGTGGAGTGGCTTATCACATGTCCTGCAGTACAAACCAGTAAGTTAGTATTGGCTTAAAGGGAATGTACATCATTGGCTTATACTTTAATTTCCAGAAATGAACTATTTGAGGGGTTAGTATAATAGATCAAATATTGTTACGCTGACATGTTTGAAGTTTTGTTTTCGAAAATGCTGGAAAAACCAAGAAAAACAAAAAATTTCAAGTAGTCTGGTTCCCTGACTCCACTGAAGATGAAATGGATCAATTTACATATGCCGGAAAATTGTACGCTAAGGGAACCAGTCTAGCTGACCTGCACCCATTCATGAACATAAAACCAATTAGCAAACAAAATTGGACTGAAAAAATGGTAAATTTGGAGCAGTAGTAAAAAATACTTAGGTTTTTCCTACGGTGGTCGGCCGACCACCGTTGGAAATGTAAACAAAAATACAATTTTCTTGAAAGTGACTTCACACCAGGTGCCATAATTTTACAGGATGCTTTAGACTGTCATTTACCAACATCCTGTAAGGTATTTTGTAAAAACTTGGTCATTTTATTTTTCAATGTTTGCAAATGTTGTATTTTCCCTTTAAAGTCAAATAACAAGTAAAGCCGTGTCCGAATTACTAGGCTACGACTCGACATTACACACGATTCTAAGGGAAGTTGCTGCAGCCACTTCTGTAAAAACGTGTCAATATTCTATATACTATACCCAGTCATTGGGAGTGCATTTCATGAGGCACTTCACTTGTCACTATTGTTGTCATGACAGTGGTGTGAGCTGATTGAAGGTTCCGCTAAAATCAAATAACCACTACTGTCGAACACCTTTATAACAAGGTCCTTGGGACTTTGGAATTACCTTGTTATAACAGGTACCTTGTATTAACAGTAACAGAAAACAAAGAAAAACAGACTTGGGACCTACAATTTTGCTTGTTATCAGCAGTACCTTGTATTAACAGTGCTCTTCTTATCAGGGTTTGACTGTATTTAGTTTGAAAAAAAATGAGGATAACCTGATTTTGAAAGCTTCGATTTCTCCAACCACTAATGTTGTTTCTTACAGATAGCGGACAGCAGATATCTGCCGTTACTGAGGAAGTGCGCACATGGCACTATGGCCTTAGTGTTTGTCACAGCCTTATCAGGTACTTAATTTGGTGTATTTGGAGAAATCATAGGTTGAAACCTTGGCTTCAATTCCGGCTTTGGCTTCTCACTCCAGCCTCATGTAATAATGATAACATGGTACTGCATCCAGCTGGAGTCCCCCAAGTCTAAAAATCTTCTGTAGGTGAAGCTGCAGACATAGCCGAGCTTTCAAAATACTGTGATTATAGACATTCAAACTGACAGAACATGGCAAAATATTTGTCAGAAACATTCTTGTTGGATCCTTTGGGTGCATTCTAATTTTGGATTTGTACAATGACAATTTGCAACTTTATGGGCGATGACAGGTCACATGTATTCTTGCCGATTTCGTCGTCTCAAGCTTTGCAAGCAATAATGATGTTGTTTGATTGGCTTGCATTTCAGGTGCCTTTGTGGCTGGGCTAGATGCTGGTTTGGTCTATAACTCGTTCCCCAAGATGGCCGACAAGTGGGTGCCTGATGACATCATGGCCATCCAACCCAAATACAAGAATGTTTTTGAGAACCCAACCACGGTACAGTTTGACCACCGCATTCTGGTGAGTAATTCGACATCTTACATGGTTTTCCATGTATGTTGGTGTCACGGCCTCATTTGTAATGAACAAAATAGGATCCACAAAAGATTGTTTAGTAAAGCGTTTAATTTTGTTTTATAAAATGACTCTTGGACCATTGATATGAGAGGCAACACCCACGCATCTTCTAAGATGCATAGGTTACTGTACGCCGTGCTTTGCGTTAAATCGGATATTTATCTTCTATAGCTTTTCAAATAACACAGACTGATTACATGAATTTGGTACCGGTATTCTTTTTTCACTTTATTTTTTAATTTAATTTTTTTAATGAGGAGTTCGAAACAGGGTTAATGATAATAAAAAAAAGTGTGGCATAGCAAAACAATAATTTACATCCTCCAGAAACAGGCAAAAAATAAGGGAATAAATGTGTGCTCCGGAGGTTTTTATCACTCGTTTAATACCGCTTAGAGTCTGGGTGCTGATAATTACCCGAGCCGGAGGCGAGGGTAATTATCAGCACCCAGACTCTAAGCGGTATTAAACGAGTGATAAATACCGACCGAGCACATATTTATTCCCATTCATAAATACCTTATCCGTAAAAAAATTTCAAATAATTCGTTCAAAAAATCCCGATTTTGTTCAACAAGTTCACTTCATGCTTTTTGAAACATCCCTCTAGCAAAATAATGGAGTGTTCAGCTGGCGGGTAAGATGTAAACAACCCTTTTATGGAGATTGACGCGCGCGTAACATGTTCTGCGCGATGTCACGCAGAACGCACCTGGGGCGTTGCGTTTTGAATTTAGAACTATAAAATTCTGACTCGCTTGTAGTGTTGCGCATGCCTACTTGAGGATTGTGAACGTTCAACCAATGAAACGGTAAGAGGCACTGGATTTTTAGGAGTCCACATTTTATTGTGACACTGGAAGTGTTTAAGACCAGCTAGCCATGTCTTTATCATCCGTTTAATACCGGCCACGTGACAGGCTCTCGACCAATAGGAATAGCTAAACTGTCTGAGGTATTTATGAATACTGAATAAACAAAACTAATCGCAATATTTGTTTTTCTTTTGTCAGGGAACGACTACAGCTTCAGCAGTTGTCGGGATGTGGTTGCTTGCTCGTAAAGTACCGTTACCAGCGAGAGCCAACCTAGCAGTGAATTGCATGCTCGCCATGAGTGCTGCACAGGTAAGACAAAAACCAAGTAATTGACTCGAACAAGTTAGATGTAGAGTTCTGTACATCAAACTCAAGATCTTGTTAGTAGATCTTCAGATTGGAGGTTACAGTTCAATGTGTAGAGTTCAGTGTTTGTGTCCTTGGGCAAGACACTTGACATGTATTTCTCATCACTTCCCCCCTCCCCCACCTAGGAGTAAATGAGTAGCTGTGAGGGCAGAGATGGTTTTTGTTTGAATCAGTGATTTAAGCCACCCCGACAAAAATGTGGGATGGTAATGTTAGGCGTGCCAACATTTCTTCTGTCAGGCATGCAACTGGGAATCGAGGAAAAAAACGAAGAAACTCCAAACCACACAAGACTTTGTACAGTATATTTCAATTGATAATGGCATTCATGAGAGGTAAAAAACAATGAAATCAGCAGATCCGAGGAAAAGTTGCATGCTTGTTATGTTGTATTTTTGTTTTCCCCCAGATAACCCTGGGTATCTGCACCCTGTTGTACTTTGTACCCACCGAGTTGGCAGCGGCCCATCAGTCTGGCTCACTCACGCTATTGTCCCTGGCGATATGGTTTGCTCACGAGATCAGAAAGGTTCCTAAATAACCACAAAACTGCTACAAGATATGCTGTGGAATGACGTAATTCTTGGCAGCAGTCTTGAATGTCGCTGCCATTGGCTAGAAATGGTTTGCAGTTTAAGGTTACAACTTTCCAGGAAAATCTAACATGCATCTTTTTTTCTTAAATGACTTGGTAAACAATCAATGAAAGTACCAAGTACATGTATATTTAATTGGCCTATTGCAAAATGTAAGATTTTTTTTTTTTACATTTACCGGTGCACCTGCAGACTGCAGATGCCCGTTCCATCGGACCATTCTGATTGGGTGGCTGTACCATCCTCCTTGGTTAAAGGAGCAGTTTTTTTTAACAGAATGCAACCTTTTTTGCTCGAAATCATGTTTCTGAGGAAACAATAACAGTTGGGAAAATTGATAAAAAGTAGAATGTAAACATTCTCACACCTTTGTAAATAATCAAGGATGAGATGGTCAATTTTAAAAAGTCTGAAGAAATGAAAGGTTGGAAAGATGCATTTCTCATGCCAAGCTCACAGATTCAAGAGGTCTGATTTCAGCCAAAAAAGTTTGAAAAATCTCACGCAAGAATTACTGCGTGAAGAGCTGTTTAGGTACAAAAGTTTGGTCCTCAAAAACCAGCTCACGTGACAAATGTAAACAAACAGGGTTTTTCAACGTTTACGATGTGCATTTCTTGAGACCAAGAAATTTGAAATCTCCACAGGAATGTACGTCTTCAAAATTACGTGTCAAACTGTAAACTGGTGATTCAGACTCAAGAATTTGAGGCAATTTACATATATTAACAAACCAACACTACATGAGTTTATTTTGGGTACTGTGTACTACATTTGGCATACTTTACTTTATAAATAAATGTGTACGTGTAACTCATTTCATTGTAAATAAATGCATGATGTAAAGACCTAAAGAATCCAGTGTATTTTCTTGCTTAAGAAAAAAAAGGGAATAGTTATTCAAGGTAATGGGAACATTTCCTTTTGTGGTTTTTTTTTATTTGAAGCAGCAAAATTGCTCAAAATCTTAAGACGGTGTGTAACAACGAACTTGTTGATGTTTCAGCTCAGTGAACACTCTACAGTTTGAGAAAACAGTGAAAACGTATGCACGATTTTTGGGGTCTCTGGATTCTGTTGCAACGCACATAAATAAGTCTGCCCATGGGCACATTTTCTTAAACCGTCTTCAATGATTGTTTTCTTCTGAATGATACCATTTCAGGCGGAATAATTTCACAAGGTATTTGGTACCAGTCCCGTCTGCACTTTGAGTAAGGATGTTCTCATTCCATCGGTACGTCCCTTTCTGGGTAATTGCAAATGTTCCTAAGTGTCTTTAAAATAAAAGTTTTGAAAATCTGGTAAGCTTAAATCAGCCTCGGCAAGTATGGACGCTCTGAAGTTTCAACTTGATTCAACTGCGGTGGATTTTGTCGTGTGCATTTCCAAACATCAAATCTGATTCGTCGAAGCGCCAGTAAGTCGATGGATCTCGTTCAGTGCTATCACCTGCTGTGTGTTTCATTTTGTCTGACTATCTCATGAGCTGCGTGTAAACGGTGAAGTGTTTCTGTCTTTCCTAGAACTGACATCATCTCTGCTACACTTGCTCCTTTCTGTACGAAAAAAAAGAGAAAAACATGCCAGAAATGTTGCTTATATATGATTAAACTACCAAGTAGGCTTAAAACGTTTTTTAAACAACAAAAGTAATTGCTTAAAAATACTTCCTGAAAACTTGACTTAAAAAAGTCCAATAAAGTTCTTCTCTGGCTGGCAAATTTAACAAATTCAATGACAAACTTGTTACATGTATATTCGCATGTGCACACAAGTCAACTTTTGTCCACACATTTCGGACATTCACCATAGCTGTGATTGGTCAAAGTGACATGGGGGCGTGGCTTAATGTATCAATCTATCATTGGCTCATACCTTTACATTACTCAGGGCTATTCTCAGCACCCTCATGAATATGGAATAAGGAATGCCGGCCAAGCTTTCGCTACACTGTCTCAGCTTGGGAGACAGGTCTGTCACCTCACTCAACACTTTTTCTTGAAGACTGTCAATTTCCTTGCAGGCTCTGTCCAACACCAACTCTGAAAAGACAAAAAAGTATTAAAAAGTTAAATGTAAATGTTATTTGGAATACATGTAGCTTACAGTTACCCCCTAAGTCACACGCATGCAATATTACTGATGTAAGCTTCAACATTTCACAGAGTGAACACACAAAGGAGGAAGTTAAAGACTAAATCGCAATCTCTAATGAGGGTCACATTACCTGCCTGGCTGGAAACTGACATCAATTCCCCTTTACTGAGTCGCGGTGGTATCCACAGGTAGATATAATCAGGTTGACATAAGTCTTGTATCTTATCAATATGGTGCTGCAACAATAAGAATAAGTGACAGGAATTGAGAACAAAATGTATATAATGGTGATTCATTTCGCTTTCATTTTCGTTGGGTTTGTTGGCCCCTCACCAACATAATTTATAAGAACTTTTATGCTTTCTAAGAGCCTGGGGAAAAATTCACCAGCTTGCACGTACGGGAATCGAACCCATGACCTCCTGCTTACTAGTGCAGACGTCTCGACAAGAAGTCTGCAAGTGTGCGAATCCACATTAATTTTCGTAACTACAATTTCACATTTTTTCTTTCAAATTCCCCCCATTTTGCAGCTATATTTCAGGTCTGACCCCCCTTCACACATTCTGATTTAACTTACTTTCCTTGCTTCAAGAACTCTCAGCAGATACTCGTCTGTTAGGTTTTCCATCTTGTTGTTTCCTTCTGACCTGACAAGAAAGGGTTAGGGTTCCGTGAGAAGTGCTCAACAGCAACAGAAAAACAACAAAACAAACTAAAAAAGAATCGCCCAATCTTGACTACAACACAGAATCAAACCTTGTTAGAAGCTCAGCCACTTGTTGCCGGAGCAGGGCGACCAGTCTATGCCTGCCTTCTGTATGAGTCAGGAGTCGGATGATATGACCTCTGTTGACCTCCGGTAGTAGTCTCATCTCAAGCACAGCTGAATGGGTCGAGACTCGGTGTAATGAAAACTACATCAGGGAAAGAGAAAAGAAGAGGAAAGAACACATTCTATCACAGTTTACTGCTCTTGGAGTGAAAACTTTGAGGGTTTACAAGTCTATGCGCTTCGAGGGACAGTGGGTGGCCATGAGAGGCTCATATCTCCCTCGGCCTTCAGCCTGGGGAAATAATACCCTATTGTAGTCAGGCACGGGCCCAATATGTAGTTTTTATTTCCACAATTCAAAGTGCTTCAATTTTACCTCATACATCTGAACAGTGATAACGTACAGGGCCCTGTCACAAGACTATCTTGTGCATGAGAGACGATTGCAACATGTAGATCATGCTTGATACAATTTTCAACTGCTCTGCTTACAGTAATGAATTTGAGATTGGGCGAAAGGCGTGTTATACAAATATTGACTGTTTCAAACTAGAACTTGACACTCTGTTTACCCATGTAGAGGGACAATAGAATCCCAGTTGCCACATCAAGGTGGGAGATCTGAATATTTTCGATAAAAAGAAAGTAATTCCACAAACCTCTTGAATCAATTGCTGCATGCTGCGTATTGTCTTGTTCTCCTCAAACCCTGAGCCACAGAATGTGATGAAATTGACGACTGCTTCTGGCAAGAATCCTGCATCCTTCAGAAAAAAAAAAGAATAAAAAAATGTTTTGCCACCGTAATTTATTATCGAAGTGTTACATAATAGCGAGTGAGGTCACTAGTTATCCTAGTGATATTGTATTGTACTTATAATTCAACAAGAGCAACAATTGTTAATGCAAAATCTCCAACCTTGTCTATTTTGTTGAATAATACTACTAATGGAACTACACAAATTAAACTGAATCACTTTTTACCTTGAAATGTTGAACAAAAATATCACCTTGACGTTTGGATAACTTACTCCCATCTCTGAAAAAAAAATAGTTTATAAATTAATATTCAAAATTATTAAATATGACAATTTTTCGGAACAGCATTTTCCAAAATTTACCTTGACCAACACTGTTCTGTATTTTCTTTGTAACAAGCATCTTAAAAATTTAAGAATGGAATAATCCTCGGATCTCACCTATTGAGCAGAAGCGGCAAGTGTGCAAACTTTGGTGGACTCCAGGCAAAAGCTTTGTAGAGATACAAGTGTTTGGGGGTCGATGTTAGCCACTCCTGGACATTATGGGATAAATCATAGCCGGAATGTGTGAGACATTCTGCCCAAAAATGAGACAGAACTGGACACAGGTCAGAAGAAAATTTCAAAACAAATCCAGGCATAATTTATGCGTGGCCTAGTATGAACAACTCAAGGTAAGTCTTATATCCTCCTAAATCAACTTGAGGCATAAAGAGGCATAAAGCTTGAATCCTCCAAAATCCTACCAAACTGCATGATTGATTTTGAGGGATAGACGGTTAGGATTCAGTTGATTATAACGTTCCTTAGGATGACTTCACTTACCATTCCCCGCAGGACGTGCGTTATACCCATGAGGTGATCGTCAACCACATTGGCAAAATGGTAGGTTGGAAAACCATCACTTTTAATCAGAACCTGAAGACAATAAGATCAATATCTGAGAATGGTTACAAGTTCACAGATGTATCTTGTTTGATGGGATTTTCCATCGTGGAGATTTATAATCAGTTTTATAGAACGTCCGAGTAAATTTTAAACTTACCGGATCTCCTTCTATAACACCAACATCGTGACTTGTTTTGCCATAAACCAGATCTTCAAAGGATTCAATATTTGGCTCCAGCTACACACACACACAAAATATATAAATAAACTAAATTAGAAAAAAAAAGGAAAACTGCATCGCAGTTCAAATTTGTGGCTTAACGTTAAAGAAAACTCTGATTTTCAACTTAAGAAACTTGGCTGTTGAAATGAGAAATTCATCTTTACCTGGAGGAAAAAGTGTAAAATGTTTTGTCCAAAATTAGAATAAAGTTAGCCTGACTTGTTCCCCCTTTTTTGGAATGATTTTCTTGGTTTGGAGTCTAACTAAACTTAAACTCCACTCCAGTCTGACATCAGTCAGATTTCTATACACATACATGTATGCTGCCGTCATAGACAAGGCCATACAGTCAAGAGGTCTACGATCAGCCTAGATTAATATACGTTATCCATTTGCCATGCACCACCCCCCCCCCCCTTTACATGTATGTGTTTATTACAAACGCATTAGCCATACAGGGCGTCGACTAAACACGCAGTCACCATTAGTTAAAGTCCAAATGTCCCTACTGACAAAAGTGATGATATTTTTACGGCCTACAACTACAAGTTCCACAAGGACAAAAAGTCCAACTCACCTTCAATCTCAATACACTCGGTTTCCCTGACCGCAAGTGGTCTTGTACCTGGTGGTGCGATAGGTGACGGCACCTGTTATCATAGCGGGGGACCTGTCTATTTCTCATGGCTTCCTTCCTCAGGAGTTCCAGCCTTTGTTCTGTACAGAAACAGTGGTAGGCAGCCCCTGTCTTAAAAAGAAGAAAGAAATTCTTGTGGTCCATATATGTGATGCGATCAAGCTACATGAGTCGTTTGTCGACACTGGTCAAAATTATTGTTTTTATTACAGATTTGAAAAGAGCACAGTCTCAGCTTTGTGCACTCGTTGTTGCTGCATTTAAATAACAAAACTGATCTCAAGGATGGCTGCTGAATGCAAAAGCTCTATAGCAGCAGCACAGTTATGGAGTTATGGCTGGACATCTATCAAATTTTAGAGAAAGAAATTAACCCCAATAAATAATTTCTATTTGTTTTGTCTAGACTTTTGGGGTGAAATTTAAAAAACTATTGGAAGACCTGGTCCTCAGGACCAACAGTTTTAGACATTTGCAAAAAATTTAAAAAAAATATTTGGAAATTCGTGAAAACGTCAAATACAACTGAAAATTTGTGTCTTTGTGATAAAAATGAGCCCTACTGCATACCACATTCTCAAACTGAACTTACCTTGACTAATGTCTCCATGTGTTCCTTGTAGATGTGCAATCGCTCTGACTTTGAAACAAAAAACCAAATACTGGCCAATTAGCATGAAGAATACTTTGCATCACTATAAGTGTAATTATAATCATGGGTACCCCGCTCTGACAAATTGTGTTGTATAAACGCAGGAGCAAAACTTTTTCTTGGGGATTTTTACCTGTTTATAAGGGCCGAAACTCCCTCCTTGAACGGGACCTAAGAAATAGAATTAATCATGTTATGAGTACTGAGAACAAGTATACCGGCATGCAAAGCACTCAACATTCAAAAAAATAAAAGGCATTCTACGTTTTTGTCCAACACAAACTTCAGAAAACTTAGAAAAACTATCAAAAAAACTCAGCCAAACTTGGCACCACGGTCAAGTTTGGCTTATTAACAATGCTATACGACAATGACAAAAACTTGCTCACTTGAATATTTTAATATACTCTGAATACCAGTCATGAATATTCCACATATAAAGGCCATTTGCAAGGCACATCGCAAAATGTGGTTCAACTCTGGCGAATTCTCCATCTTACCTTCATCTGGGTTGACTCCAGACCATGCTAGCATCTCCTGCAGATGATCTTCAGCTCCAGGAACTAGCCGCGTCTGGTATAAGACATAGAATCAGGAGAAAGACGTAACAACATCAGGCTTTATTGTTTTGATAGACAACAAAATTCTGTAAAGGGCGGAGGGTAAAGTTGTGATCTGACGGCTTTTTACCCAACAGGCTTCACCGTTTGGTGCCAACCCATCATTGAAAAAAGGTGTTTTTTTTTTCAAATGCTTTAGGTCTAAGCAAGCCTATTGATCTTGATGGTTAGTTCACGTAAGTAATTTTTTTCTCAAGACAAAGTTGACACTCAGGCATGCCCTTTGACCTATGGTTCGATGCACAACAGATTCAGAAACTTGAAACTAAACAGCAATTTTCGTGTTCTCCCAGCCCCAATGGACCCAAAACATTGAACAGCTCAGTGGAACAATGTCTGATTTTGTCTGCAATAAATTAATAGCCCTCTCAAATCAATCAATATAATACTAAAAAAAAATTGAAATTATACAAATTTACACAACATTTATTTCATTAACCTGATCGGTATCTTCAATCCTCAGAATAAATGTGCCACGGTGTGCTTTGGCAAAGATGTAGTTGTAGAGCGCAGTCCGAAGGCCTCCGAGGTGAATATGTCCAGTTGGGCTTGGAGCAAACCTTACACGCACCTCACAGCGACAGATACTTGAGGTGGACAGAGGACGGATCACACGGAGTATGGACTGCCTCAGAAAACCCATGATTTCCACAGTTCTACAGACAGATGAACACAATTTACTGGGATTGGATATTGACCATACTCCATAGACATCTTTTATCATGATTTTATAAAATTAAAAAAGAAATCAAATATATTTGTTGTTTTTATTTATGTTTAGTGAGCCTACGCCTAGGAGTAGGACCTAGGCCTCAAATATCTTGGACTATGGGTTAGCCATGTTAGCTGGAGTTAACTCCAGGCCACCTAGACTAGGGTGGGGGTTAGTCCAAGTAACTTGGACCCAACTTATCGCCTTTCCGACATTTGGACATGGTCATGTCCGAATGTTAAAAAGGCGATAAAGGTGATATTTGCTTGGGGGGGGGGGGGGGGGGGGGGTCATAGTAGTAATGCTTTACAAAACGTTGACCATCCGTTCCTCAACCCCAACCCTGCCTCGGCCCAGCCTAAAATCTCCTCCATCCCCTCCCCCAATTGTCCCTACACCTTGCCCCCCCCCCCCCCCCGGCCACGCCTACTTAACTTAAGCCTTGGCACTGAAATTCTGTGCAGTATAAAACTTAAAGTAAATGCCGGCAGCATTAACAATTTATGGCAATGCCTTCCCACGTAATTTCAGGCCCTATACATATCGATATATATACATATATGTAATTATAACTAAGCAAAACTTTCAAAACCCAAAGAAACCTTATCACAACCTTTCATACCCACCATTTGGCAGGAATAACTGCCACTTGTGAAGTTGTTGGACGACAATCCAAGAGTTGCACGGTGCACGTGTGTAGCGCCCTCAATTGGCGGTCATGCTTACTGGTTCTCGATAAAAACTTTTCTTTGGCCGTGCAAAAGGGAATTTTACTGGAATGAAGAAAAACATTACGGATAAGTTCGTAATGAAAATTAAAACAATGTTAGTTTTGATATGCGGATGTATAATAAAAGTCATGAATCTATGAGAAATCTAAAAATAGCTGCATGCAGTCTGGTGCCCTGACCTACCGACCGTGATAATTTATCCTTTATTACAACGGGGAACCGGCGAATTTGGCATACACAAAAAACACGTGCAGGATCTTGCCGTCAACTTTTCGGCGCGGTTGTTTAGAAAAAAAAAGTGGCATTTTGTATCGGGAAAAATACAAGCCCTTTCTCTCTTTTGAAATCATCACATGTAGCTGTAACTTCTTTGGCCACTGCATGCAGCTAGAGAGGCATGTCCCTGGGCGGAGAACGTGTAAAACTGGCAAGGAACGCTGCACCGACAACTGACAGTGACAGCAGTGGTGATGATGGCAGGCGCAGGCCTGCCGTGTTTGGCGGGTCAACCAACCCGAGCCTGCACGCCTGCGGTCCATCCGACTCGGACAGCGGACCCTGGCAACACAAAGCAGATTTTGACTTCTTGAGACTCGGTCCCCGACCGCATCCACCTTCTCTAGCCAAAAAAGACGAGACCCAACTCCAAGACTTGAAGTTAGATAAAGAAGGTAGCCAAGCATGGGCGTGGCGGGGGGGGGGGGGCTCGTTACTACCATACTTTAAATTGGGTGCTATTCAAATCCGACAATTGTTCACACTATATTACAGAAAAGTGTGCAAATATCTCCGTAACCTGGCTGGCTTTGTCTGTAGTTTGTGCACATGCGTAATATTGCAATTATAACCAGTAGAATTGTTTTCGGGTGTCAAAGCTAGTGGGGGTGGGGTAGTGTTATTTTTAATGAATTTATATTTAACTAAGGAAATTTTTTTTTTTTAGATCCGCTCCGCTCCTGGTGATTTCTCTCCCAGTAGACAAGCATCTGTATGAATAACATTTCGAAAAACATTATCAACCTGTTACGAATTTAAATAAACCTCAACTGCCGTCCCTTTGAATACCCAAAACTTTAGGGTATGTTGGGTTATCGGACACATTGTTGCTTCTTTTTTGGCCTTATTGACAACTGCAAATTGCTGTCATGAAATGCTCTTTTTTTGAGAAGCAGGTGATAGTCATTACGTCCAAAAGACGGCAGTCCAGATGACAGCTTTGAGCAGCATTGTTAACAGAGGGGACAAAGCCCTGGATGAGGTGTCAGCAGAGAAAGACGATGACATTCTGTCCATAATGTGTGATGACAATGACGACAGTGACATCTTCGGAGATGACACAGTTGAAACAAAGAGGTACAAACAAAAGCAGTCAAATTTGACGCATTTGTGTAATTTGATTTTAAATATGAGGTGTTGTAATGGTCCACAGCTAGGTTGTCCAAAAGATGCCCAGGTGAAGGTTTTATGTAAGACATTGGGCAGAGTTGGGAAACTTGCTTAAATGCTTCACACTGCTATGTTCTGAAGTAATGAATTTCAGAATTCAGTGAATTATTTTGAAATATAAAAGAGTTTTTTCTTGTTAATGTGTAGAGACTGGAGCTCTGAATCCAGATTTGGTAATAAGCGGAAACAAGATTCTCCAAGCATCTCAAGCCCTGCAAACATCAAAAGAAGTCGCTCTTTGTCCAAAACTCCTCCAGAAAGGTACATTAAGCAGTCTTGTAGAACTCAAACTCGTACATTATATACTCGTACTCACTATACTCATACTGTTACTCAAGTTTATTTTTTCCTACCCTAAATACGCATGAGAAGGTGCTCACAGGGATTCTCGTACTGGCCAGAACATATTGCCTGTATTCATTCCCATATGCATGGCAAAGTACTCATACTCATCAAAGTGTTCTCCTGCAACAATTAAAAAAGAGGTACATACAGGAACAGGATGCATTTTCTTTTGTTTTAAGGCTTTTGCCAAGTCCCTCTGACAGCAAGAGGGCCTAGAAACATGTACCAACTGGAATGTACTCAAAATTTACTCAAGAATAACACAAAAACAACACATTTCTAAAGGATGGTTGTGTGTAGGTTTATATTCTACTTTCAAACGTTCCTTCCAATTAATATAATTTTGTTCAAAACTGTTTTGTAGCCCAATTGGGTGCTTTCCATAATGCAGTGTCCCGTTAACTTCCTTTTGAAAATTTACTAACAACATAGACTCTGATACAGAAATGTGTTTTATTGACTGAGCAAATTCAGTTCAAAGGACAAACTTCAGTTCCAGCATAGATCAAAGTGACCAGTGTGGTGTGAAAATTGGACGGGAACAAATCCAGACTTGGTTGTGGAGATGTCAATTATGAGGGTTACAGTCCATATAAGGTAAAAGAGTTCAGATTATGTAGGATTTTTAGATGAAATTTGCCCTCCTTTTGTTCACATTATTATCAAAGTTTTCTTTTAAAAAAAAAAACAGTGAAAGATCTCGAGCTGGCTCAGTGCACAGTCGCCTTGGAAGATCCCAACGTCACCAGGTATATAGTGGCGGATGCAGGGGGTAGGGAGGGGCACCTTTCCCCTGGCAGTGACTAAAATTTCCTCAAGAAAGGCCTTTTTTTCACTTCGAGAGAGCCCTTCCGCAGTTTTAACTTACACATACAACCAATATTACAAGGTAGAATTGTCCATTTTATTTGCAAGTGACTTTCCAAAACGAAACATAATGCCGCAAAACAAAACAAGTTGCATGAGTCATCACAAGTCATACAGCCCAAGTCAAGTTACAAGCTTTGCAAATTGTTCATTCATGTTGTGATCGGAACAATGTTTGGACCTGTGATTGACTCAGTTAAGACTCTACTAACGCATTTTTTACCTTTTTTTTGGGGGGGGGTGTTCTGGGACTAGAGTGACCGTGACTTGCAGAGACTGTGCTTCAACTTCACCAAAAACGGCAACTGCTTCCGTCCATTCTGCCCATTTCTCCACCTGAATCCACTGACCATGGAAAATGGTACAGTCCACAACAGACGTGAAAGAGTTAGGGTGAGTGACATCTACCTAACATAATGGGTTACAACATTGATTTCCTAGGGCTGTACATCGGAACCTGGTACCTGATGTCAGGAACCGGTTCCAGATTATAGGAGCGGGTACCTGTAACCAACTTTGTAAACTACTTAGTAAATTTCTCAGACAAAGATGGAGATAAATAGACGGAGATTTAAAAATGAATAAACCTGTCTCACTTTTGCCATGATTGCATTCACCACAGAATGGTGACGTCGTTATGGACCACTCGGCATCCCCGCACCATCTGCAGAAACTGCAGCAGCAAGTGCAGGAGCTGCAGATGAAAGCACAGCAGCAGAAGACAGACCTGCAGTCGCTGACGCACAACATGCAGCAGATTGAGATAGGCCTGAAACATCATGCCACCCAACAAGCTGATCAGGTTAGCTCTGCGCTCTTATGTGGTTGTGTTTAAGATCGCCCGTAATGGGTACTTTTGAAATGTCCGCATACTTATTTCTGCCCCCTCCCCAGTGATTCTTAGTTCCATTGTTATCACACCACAGGTGTTTGAGCAGATGCAAGGACAGCTTCACCATCAGCAACAGCAGCATCAAGCCCAGCTGGATCAGACAAAGCAGATGTACGGACAGATCAGCCAAGCCCAGGACAGGATGGAGGAACGTGAAAGGCTCCTAGGCAGTCTCTGCATGTTGCTGCAGCTGGTGCTGAAACACCACCTGGAGAACATCACGCCAAGCAGAACCAGCAACACTCACAGCAGCAGTACAAGCAGGATTGCACAGTTGGAAAATGGCAACATGCTACACGGGCCCCTGTTGCATGATTTGCGACAGCTTTTACCTGAGAATAAGCCTGACGCTGATTGTCCCCCGCAGCCTAGATCAGCTGATTATGAGAATCAGCGGCGCGTGACAAGAGATTTGTGGCGCTCACTGTATGAAGGGCATCCCCGTCGGCCCCAATCGGCTGATACTTTAAATCGCTCCAGCCACCAGCCGGCCTGCTATGCCCGTGGCCCTTCCCATGCAGGGATACCCTCCCAGGATCCTCAGAATGAGTGGCCGACCAGTCGCCAGCATGACTGGTACTTTGGCCCCACCTACAACTGTGCTCCATTGATGGGCAACTCGCAGATTCCCATCAGTCAGCCATATTGCCATGTGGCTGGTAACCCAGGGATCGTGCGCCTCTTGCCAGTACGTCACAGTGCAGATTCGGCTTTTGACGCGTACCCACGTGAGCGTGCACCAGTGCAACCTCGCTAGTATCTCAAAAATCGCAGAATTCTATCCAAAATACATCCTGTTAAAACGTGAAACACAACAAGCAAGGATGCTTTGCCAGGGTAAAATAAAAAGGCACTTACATTTTTTTTGGATTATCGTCACTTGAAAGGAGCCTGTTCCTGATACAACATATGCTGCAAAACAGTTTTCTATTTAAAGCAAAATCAGAGCACAAGTTCTTGATTCTGCTTATAATGGACAAAATTTGGTGCTTACCACATCAGCACAGCTTCATTAGCTAAGCACAACTTCTTGCTACTCTGTAGAAGACTTTGTCTTGGTAGAAAGCGGAGATCACTTGTTTAAAGTGTGCAGAGTCATACAATTGGACAGTTATTTTAAGAGTTCACTAAGCTGAAAAAGAGAGATTATATAAAAGAACTGGAAGATCTTTTTCTTAATTGCTGATATTGCCCATATATTTCTGGGGGGGTAAAAAAAACCTAGGACTTTTTGGTTTGAGTTTTTTCTTCTATTCTGGCCACATTTAAGTTGGGCGGAACAATTGTTTGAAATCTTTTATCTACATTATGGTAAACAGAAATTCCAAAAAGGAAGTTGTTTTGATACAAGTATTTTTGTACTTTGATTCACCAAACTCTTCATAGTAGTACACTTATGTGATTTACATATATTTTCAGTACTTAATTAACAAAATATTTCCATTTTGACCTTTTTTAACAAATACAGATTTGGTGATTTATATACCGATATTTTTTTAGATTTAAACAGCATAAAAAACATAGACAAGTAACGAAGAAGTGTATGTTTTTGTTTGAGTGCGAAGATAGTGCTTGAGATGTTTAACGTTTGAGCGTAGACTATCATATGTTTTTCCAAATGTGGGGAAAAAATTATGCTTCATTATGCTTTACATATTATTACTGCAAGTTTTATGCAGTGACAAGAAAATGAAAAGTTGTTACTTTTTTTTAATTGCCAACGATAGAATATCTGTTATTTATGGCAACAAGCCAAGTTGTTTCCTTTTACAGTGGGAATATTTTAGTAAATCTGATATCTTAATGAATATATTTTAAAAGATGACAAAAGAGTTGATTTTTAGTAAGAATAAATATTTAAAAAATTGGAATACTTCAAGAGTTCAAAAAATGATTTCTTAATCGTGCATTACTACGTTAAATCTGATATTTCTTGCCATTTATATCTGTCCTTTAATCAAACCTAGTTGAACTGCCATGTCTGCATTATTTGTTTCTATTTCCATATATTTATTCCCAGTATTATATTTTTGCAGTAGATAGTTTTGTGATTTTAGCTAAAGGGTAGAATTTAATGCACACATGTTTGAGTTTGAAGCGTTTTCATCAGTTTTGATTCAGTCAGGTTTTTTTCAAATACTTTTCTTCCAGACTTAAGTAACAGAGCAGCAAATTCTCCAAAGGAATATTTCTCTAAAAGTCTGGCTAATGTGACATATTTTGTTTATATGTACACTTAAGTTTGTAGTAATGGAATTGTCTTGATAGGTATACTATGTTTTGTTGGTTTAATATAAGACGTTGCAGATGCAACCATAATTAGGTTTTTGATTTAACAAAGTGCCAAAGAGATGAAAACAAATATGTGTTTGTTTTCTATTTGCCATATTTTGTTCGGGTATTATACTTTGCATGAACCAAGAGTTGCAATAATGCATATATTTTTTTCTACAGAAGATATATTTGTTTCAAGAAGTTTTATTTGTTACAAAAATTGTTTTTGTTTGTTGTGTTTAAAAATGTTATGGATAAGGAAAATGAAAAAAATGTGTTTGACTTTTTGAAAGGTTTCAATAAAATGAAAGACACATTGATGTTTGTGCTTTTATAGTGTTCTTTTTAACTTTTTTAAAGAGAATATTTCATGAAATATAGCAGAACGAAATTGCACATTTGCACATTTATATTACTAATATTTTATAAGCTAAGATATAAATACGTTTGAGACCAAAACAAATAGTTGTGGAGGGAAACGACTAATCAAACGACTGGTGGCACATACAAATTTTTCAAATAGTTTTGACCTGAATAAAGAGATAACATGCGTTTTTAACCGACTTGAGGTTAGTAAAACTGGTTACAGGTAACACAAAAGGAATGAAAAGTTTAAGAAAATTACAAGGGAAAACAAACTTTTGAAGGAAGTTTTGAACTTATGCAAATTGAGGGTTGTGAATAATTATCACTTCGCGGGCGCGAGCGCTTTTGCTGTGGTCTTGCAAACTCGCAACGAGTATTTCGTGTTCACAAAAATGTGCGTGCAAGCGAATCGACTTATTTACAGTCTCATCTGCACGATTTGAAAGGCATGACATTAGGGGCATCCCCGAGCCATTCCGCAATGGCGTCTCTGTCGAGAAATACTTACGGTTGATTTTTCGTAAAAGTTTGAAAGTATTCTCATGATTTGCGCCCGCTATAAAGGAAGGGTTCTTTCTGAGGTAAGTGCGAGCTATGTGGCAGATTACATCTGTATCATCAATATTCAACAGTGAGTCTGCAGAATTTTGTGACATCGCCTAAAAAAATGCAAACACGGTCATGACGGTAAATTGTATTGTACGCCCGTGTAGGCCTACATAAACACCATGGTAAGGATTGTCCAATTTCCGGACAATAGGCCTAGTAAAACTCACTAGCACTGTAGCAGTAGCCGTACTACTAGCAGGTCGTAGGAAAAAAATGTTGCAACCTGATGCCACTTTGTTCTTCAGATATTATCCCAGTGGAGGTCATTCATTACAAAAATCATGAACATACATGAATCTGGGCCACTTTCTCAGTTTCTGGGACATAGAAACATTTCTATAAATTATTTCTAATTTTTTTTTTACCCTCTAAAAAGGCTTTAGTAAGGCTCTATCAGTATCAATATCATGTCTATAGACTTTGTACAAAATTGTGGAAGGGATGTCAGTTTGCAACATTCTTTCCAATTCATTTCCCATTTATCTAACGAAGTGTTACTTTAAATAGTCTTGTGGTCTCACATTTTTCCCGTTGGCTTTATTAAACATGTTGGATTGGCAGTGGCAGATCGTATGGCGCCCTCGGGGTCATGCATGCACGTGTATTACATTTATTGCCAAATTATGTCGAGTGAATGCGTGGTCTAGTGGAAAGCGCGCCTACCTCACAAGCACTCATCTAAAGTTTGAAAATGATTTAATAAATCATTTTTGTCATTGTGTTTGGAAACTTTATATTGTATGTACACAAATGTAAGAAATGTCTTCTGTAATATTGTTTTAAATAAAAAAATTCAAAATTGCATTGTTTTTTTTTATTTCATTTCATTGTAGACCTACATGTAATTCATAATTATACATAGAATTGTTTTAAATACTTTCAGTATGTTTTAAAGATCAGACAATGAGTTAGTATTAATACCAAAATATGCTGGGGACCCACAAAAAAGCAAAGCTTGTCGAGTACGAGCCCCCTGAAAAAAAACCATTCACATAGGTCTGATTCCCACAACAACAATGTAAGTGCGGACCCAGATGAAGATGTGTCATGGCCAAAAAGACACCCCCCCCCTCCCCGACCAAAAAAACAGTTTTTGCTGTGCTGGTAAAAGAGCAAAAACAAATGGGGACTGGTTCACAAAATTATACACTGCCTTATTTAGTTATTTAAAAAAAAAAAATAAAAAAAAAGGTTTTGTTTTTTAAAAAAGACAGCCAGAACTGAAATTCAGAAGTTTACCTGGGTGGGTATAGTCAATGGGTCAAATGGCTTTCTGTGTGGACCTTCCCTATTTCTAGATAACAATGTTATGCCTCAAAAGCATCATCCCAATTTTAACTTGGAGTTTAAGATCATTATCATTTTTAAATTTCTCTTACATTAACCAAAAACAAAACATGTTTTGCACTTAAGGTCCTTCCCACTATTGCTGCCATGGATTGACCAATAGGGATTGAGGATTGAAATTTGATTGATGATAAACTTTGTTACCATCTCCCGTTGGTTTCACATTGCAATCTAGTATTCACACACTAAAGCTACCTTGAAACCTCCAAAGTTTTTAAGCACGTGGATTTTCTTTAAGAATCTTTATCGTAAATGGCAAAAGAAAGTACGAAATGGCCAAGTTCTTCATTTTGTTGGCCCCTAAACCACTCTGCCTCATGGGATGTGTTGCCCGTTTATTGTAACCATGGAAACATGCGCACCCCATACAAAGGTTACTTTGCATAGATCTGTAAATATTAATGTTATTGACAGTGTCAACAAAACCCCGGGACTCAACTGCAAGGGGTCATATTTCTTGTCTAGATCCAAGTGTTTATTTCACCGACAAAGCGCCATGGCATTTTTACCGACTGACAGACCTGTTTGACCTCATTGATTGCTTGCCCATTGTTGCATAGTTTGGCACTGATCCAAAGGTCTTGAGAGTTGTTTACCCAAAGAGCATAAAACAGCGCCATTTCAAATTTGTGTTGGGTTTAGTGCACAGTACATATTGTACAAATTATGCCCATTGTTGATTGAATTTCAAATCTGCCTTTTCCCCTACAGACTTCTTCTCCATTATACATTGTAATTAAACTTGCACATTAAACTTCCTGAGTTAATTACAATTTTAATGCACAATTGAGTTAATTAAATTTTAAATGCACATTTACATATGGTAATGTATACAGATACTTTTCAGCCTTTTTTATTATTTCACATTTTAATTTTCTGCATATTTAATTTGTGTAGGTTTCAGTTCCTTACCAATCCCCGGAGCAGTGAACTCAGCAATTTTGACAATTCCTCAACTCTTTTGACAAGTGTTTCAAGCACTTCATTCTCAATGGGAGATGTAAATATTGGAATTGAGTTTGCTATTCTGCAGCACTGTGTAAGCACTGAATTGTCAGTGATGTAGGACAACTATTGGAAGAAAATGCATTGGTAGAGCACTGGAACAGCATTCTAATGATGCAAAGTTAAAATCCCAGCTAATATCCTTGTTGCTTATTTGAAATGAAATGTGTTAACTTATGCTTTTTGTTTTCAGTGGGTAGCTGTCAGCTAGGTAATAACAACAAGGCTTTTGCACTTGCTGGCTCTGCAAGTTATGTGATCCAATATGGCAGCCGTTGCTAAGCGACGGAGTGTCTTCATCTCCAACATTCCACTGGCGTCTTCGGTAGAAACACTGGAAGGATTTCTTCAGCAAGGTTGGTCATTGAAGGGCTATTTAAATGATTTATTTTTTTTGTGGAAAAGGAATGTTAAAATTTATTCCGAATAAATGTGCGTGTGTTTTTTTAGAAACTAGATTCCTTTTCTAAATTGCTATTTTCTAGCAGTACGAAGATATCCACTTTTTAATGAGATATCGACCAAAAATATGGGCCCAAAATATCAGCACATGTTTAGTTTATATGAATTATTACCTTATTTCCCGCTCCACAGTTGGTACCGATAATGTAGGGATCAGAGCTAGTCTGCTCGCAAAGTGGATGTGTTTATTACAGTGCCCAAAACAAAGTCTACTTTTTTTCAGAGTGATGCAGATATCCAAAAAAGGCAAAAAGGGTTATTTTGGGTTGAAATAAAACGTACAAGTGGCAAATTTATTAACTAACTTTGTAAGGTGTGTGAAAAAAAAATTGTAGTAAAACTGCAGGATTCAGGACAGTTTGTATTAATAGTAATAATCAAATATGTTGACGAGCGTGGCAAACACAACTTGAAACACATCGAAATGCAAATACAGCATGCTGGAGGTTGCAGGTTGGAATCCCACTCCAGTCAATGTCTTTGGTAAATCTTTATCTCTTCCTTGACTATTCCTTCAGAGCTTGAGTCAAGTGGGCACGACAGAGGCCACCTTCTGAAAGTCATCTACCCAGTGAGTTCCTCAAAACCACGACAGGCACTGGCAACGTTTCAAGATGAAAAAGGTGGGACACATTTCTCAGGGGCCTCATCATCAATGTTTGGTCCGGTTTGTTTTCTTTAGCCTGGTCGCTATTGCTTTATATGGGATGGTTTGCTGGTTTTATCCGTACTATAAACAATGTATGATTTTGTTAGATTTTGGTAGTTTCAGGAAGTTTCTTTTTAAAATTAAAAAACCCTTGTAATTATTATTTGAAACTAATATTATATTAAGTTTAACATTTGAACTTGACATTATGCGCATCTTTACTACAACTTCCACCAGTGTCATTCTTTAATCTATTGTTTGAATCAGATCCTTTCCATTTTTATCAGTTTTTTTTCCCAGTTGTGTTTCCCCTATTTTTTAATCCCTTTTCTCTTAACCCAGCCATGGTTACCTTGATGCGGAAGAGACTTCGTTTTGAAGGAGAGCACCTGACAATGCAACCATTCCTGTCACAAGTAAGTACATCAAGTAGTTTCTTAAGAGTTAAGTACTGGAGTTGGTACATGTGGTGTCCAAATAACCACGACAGACTTGAAAGAGTGTCATAGCTATGTCATGTTTTTTGTGAGGTACACATGTAATATATTTTCAATCAATTATCTCAACTACAGGTTTTCACATCCATGAAGGCCGTCATCAATCCAGATGTCACGGAACTCTTTCCCTTCAACTCCCAAGACTTCTCCCGACTCCTTGAGAAGCAGTCTGGAGTGGAGTGTGGTACAGTGGACGAGCAAGACAGATATGGAGGACAGCCGGAACAGTTGTATGTGCTCACTGGGACCTGGTACCAGTTACAGAACGCCCGCAAGTTCTTGCAAGAATGGATGGTTGATGAAACCAACAGGCCACGGCTTAATGAGGAACATCTGAGAGACAAAGACCAGAGAACAGTGGACGTTACTTCCCCATCAGCTGTTAATGGATCCCAAAGGAGTCCACATGAAGAAACAAGAGGCCTCGCTAATGAAGGCAACGATTCTGAGAGACTAAGGCTTACAGAAGACACTGTCCCCAGACACAACTTAGAAGGCGATCCCACTGCCCCAGTAGCTGGTGAATCTGTGGAGAGTGGCAGAGGTGGGAGACGTGGTGCAAGAAAAGCCCCTAAAGATGGCACCAAAACCAAATTGGAAGGAAGGAATGTAAAAGTTGCAGCTTCATTTAAAGGACCATCAAATAGGATCAGTCTGGGAGTTGATGGTGAAAGTGTTGCATCATTAAGTCATCACCATCCAAACTCCTCACTAGATGTGACACCTCAGGACAACTCTGCTTCTGTAGGCTCTGTGCATCACCTAGAGCCTTCTGAATCTCCTGACCCTACGACTCAAATCACAGAAGAGGTTCAGAGTAGAGAAGATGACTTCATGCGTCTCCCAGCCAGCCAAGAAATTTCAACTGACCCAACAATGCACAGAAATGCTGATGTGAGCACACCTCCTCCATCAGACGGAGACTCTCGGACACCAGAAGACATTTCTGGGAGAGCTTTTTCAACTATGTCCTCTGAGAGAAGTGAGGATAGGCTTACTGTTGGCTCCAGTCTTGATTACATGAGGCATGTTAAGGTCCCACAAACCCCATTGGCAAGCGTGGACTCGGAGAATGGTGGACGGGAACAATTTGAAGCAGACTCAGTCCATGATGACAATGACACCTTGTCACCTAGGGATGATTTGGAGAGGGAGTCTACCACGTCTCCTCAATCAGGTGCTACCATCACTGATGGTAGAGCCATTGATGGTGATAATGAAGAGTTTGTGGAAGGTATGGGATCCCTGCCAGTTGACCCCGGAGTCTTCAGTTACATCTTACTTAAACAGAGCGACCCCATCCGTGAAATTGAGGAGAAGTTTGGAGTCAAGTTCTCCATGCATGCAACCAGAGATAGTGACGACACTGATGTTGAAAGTGCCCTGCTGAAGATAACACCAACCAGAGAAACTGCTGAGATCGCGCAGGCCCATGACGAGTTCGTGGACTTTTACTCTGAGATATTCTCTACACTGAACCACCGGGCCATCACAACAACAGATATGACATTCAATCCCGAATCCCTTAGGAAAACAGTTGACCTGATCCACGAGCTATACCAAACTGTTTTACTCACTGTGACAAAGGAGAAAGTTCTCATTTACGGATCAAATGAGAGTGATGTTCGTCTGGCAAAAATGTTGGTACTTGAGTCATTGAAGAAGACCCCAGTGGATTCGTCAGGTCTGCACACCAGTGGAGGTATCGGGTCTGCAGTGGATTCATCAGGTCTGCAGGGTCAGTCCGGAGTTAGTGGACAGAATACAGAGCAGTCTTTTGCTAGTGGGAGGGTTGAATCACCATCTGCTCAGCCAGCTCCGGAAGTCAGGCAAGATGAGAACACCACTGAGGTAGATAGACCAGGAGAGTATTCTCAACTCAGAGGCGATGGTTCCAATGAAGTTGATGGTACTCTTCAGACACAGCTTCGTACCCCTGGAAATGAGCCAGTGTTTCCTCTTACAGATCGGCTTCATTCAGATCCTTCAGATCTTGAAGTAGATGGTGCTCCACAGACCCAACTGGAGGGTAGACTCACTGGACCAACTGCACGGGTTGAAGACGAAGCAGTGGATTACCAACACATTGGAGGCCCCAGAAGAATTCTCAATTCTAGCACTGCTTCAGAAGCTGAGCCTGCAGCATCACCTTCTGGGAGAGAAGCTGGCGCTGAGGTAACAGGGGAAGCCAACGAAGTCACAGAGCCAGACAGACGAAATCTTGTGGAAGACATAAGCAATATGGCAAATGTAATACCTGTAGATCCAGGCGTGTTTGCTTTTATTCAGACACAGAAGCACACTATTCTGTGTGACATCGAGCAAAACTACGGCATCAAGTTCAATGTGAGAGGGAATCTGGACAGCGACGTGTACATGGTTGAAGTGGAATCAGTGGGAGCTGTCTCCGAGACGGCTGCTCAGCAGGGAAAAGATGCATTTGCAAATTTCTACCAAGAGGTGTTTAGTGGTCTAGAGCACCGTGTTGTAAGCTTGGCAGAGTTTGAAAATGTAACAAGTAACACTCTGGCAGAGATCATTGAAGAAATGGAGCACTCTTTCCGTGACCTCTTGTTCAGAGTTGTGGGCTCCAGAGTGTTGATTTATGGCCAGGGTCGTCACAATGTCAACTCTGCCAAAGATTTGATATGTAGGCGGCTGCGTGGAAGCCTCTCTCGGCCTGAGTCGACGTCACAGTTTGTTGATGATGATGTAGACCTCGAAAGTCTAAGTAGTGACAGCATGGTGAATCGACTCTATCACCTGAGATTCAGCTCTCTCAGTCCCGTATCTCCCAGAGCTGGACAAAAATTTGCCCTGACACAGAATATAGATACTCTGGGTGTGAATGGGCTACCTGATGCAGAAAGAGAAGATCCAAATAGCCAGGATCACTTGCTTAGTGAAGAGAATGATCTTGGTCATCTGCCCTCCCAGAATCCCTTACCTTCTGTGGTTGAGCAGCAACACACAGAAAGGAATGAACATTTAAAGACGCTGAATGGATACAGCAGGTTATTAGAAGATCCCAGTGATATCCAGTCTGCGAGAGTCAGGACAAAACCAGATGCAAAGCATCGTGTCCAAAATGATGATCCTACCCAAATGAGAGATGCTGAAGTTTGGAAGGGAACCCTTGGAGACGTCACTTACAAGTTTCAAGATGGCCGTTTGATTCTTGACCTCAATTCTGGCATCTGCGTCCGGCTCTTCTGTGGGGATATCACCGAGATGCAAGTTGATGTAATTGTGAACGCTGCAAATGAGACCTTGTCAAATATAGCTGGTGTTGCTGGGGCCATACGTGATGCTGCCGGAGAAGGCATGCAAGCAGAATGCAACAGGTACGTTGCCCATCATGGCCTGCTGTACCCAGCCAAAGTTGTTCACACAGGCTCAGGGAACATGCCTTGTACCTTTGTGCTGCATGCCGTGGGGCCAAAGTGGGGAGACTACCCAAACAAGCTGCAGGTCCGTCAAACCCTGAAAGCCACAATTGTGAAGTGTCTTCGGACTGCAGACGAGAAGCTTCAAGTGTCATCCTTAGCCATGCCATTCATCAGCTCAGGTTTGTGGACTCTGTTGTGTAGTTTATCACTTCTTTTTCTTCATTTATACTTTTGTATTAAAATCAAGTGGTTCTTAAAAGAAACCTATAACCTGTTTTAGTTTGATTGCTTGTTTCTTTGCAGGTATTTTTGGAGTACCTTTGGAAGTGTGCATTGAAGAGATCTGCAAGGCTTTGCTGGATGTTAACCGAAAGCGACTGACTTCCCCTCATGGTATCCTTCAAAAAGTGGACATTGTAGACTTAGACAGCGGGACTGTTAGGCAGGCGCAGGACATCATGATTCAAACACTTTGTCAGGAAGCAAGTGCCAGCTCTGAGGCTGTTCAAGGACAAGATGATACAGACATGAGAGAGACTTTGTTGGAGCCCGGGAATAACGTAGAAGGAGATTATGAAAGGAACCTAACTATTCCAGCGGCAAATGAAGATGGGGTGAGTAGGAGGGGGAGAAGCCATAAGCAACGGGAGGCTTCTGCAAGGATGTCAAGGTCGCAGAGAGAGAGCGTTTCCTCCGACGAAGACCTACCTCATGGAAACGTAGAGTATAAAAGGATGGATGACTATAGCCTTCCTTCCAGTCTGCCACCCATGGTTCGTAGTACATCACTACCTTACCTGCCTAGGGATGATATGGATGATGCAGGAGAGGGTCGCTGGGCTTACAGAACATCGGGCTTGTATACATCACCAGGTAGGGAGCTGAAAGAGTATCCATCACGTGGGAGGAAACCTCGTCTGACTGGAGAGAGAGGTCAAGAGCAAGCACCCAGTACCAGAAATATCCCAAATGCTTCACCTAAGGAAACCAGACAGGAGAAGCAAGTCAGAGAGCTCCTTGATGCCTTCTCAAGAGCCCCACCCTCCCCTGAACTATCAAGAAAAACTGAGGGTGAGCTCAATCGCCTGTTGTCGGAACAAGATAAAGGGGCCAGGCAGAAGCAGCTACAGAGGCCAGTAAGACGCACCCAGAGCCTAGACAGGTCGCGTCCACGTCAAAAGTGCTTTGTCTGCTCCTCACCAAGAAATCTGTCCAAACGAAAGTCCTGTGAGCACCTCATCTGTGAGATATGCAAGGATGCGCGCCTGGATGTTGGCAGGTGCAGAGAATGCAGCAAGGCAAAAACCAGAAAGGAGCCAGAGAAAAGATGCGATGTGTGTCTCTCCTCCACCAAACACTTGCTTCTGACCTGCAGGGATTGCGAGAATCCCCTTTGTGTAAAGTGCATAGGGAAAGGGCTGGACATCTGCCAGAACTGCATGAAACATATGCACTCTACGCCTGATGGGCATGCTGAGAAGAAACCACCTAAAGTCAGGCAGCCGATTGTCGGAGCTCGAGCCTCTCGTATTGACACCAAAAACGACTACCGCATTAAGACAAGTGTTGTTAAAGACTCAACAAGCACACGGAGAAAACCCATGCTTGGCTGCAACCAATCAGTGGATGTTGTCGCACAAGGTTATGCCAGGGCTGGTGGAGTCAATGGAATGTCCATCTCGAACTCGACGTACCCCAGGAACTCGGCATTCTCCAAGGAATTGGTGGCCGAGGAAGCTCCTCATGAGGAGATCCTAAGACGTCTCTCAAGAGAGCAGGAAACAAAACGGCAGATTTTCCCAAAAGATACTGCAACGGTCACCAGTCGATCATCCGTCACCGACAGCTCACAGACAGTACGCAGACATTCAAGAAAGAAGGCAAGTAAAACGGATGAGCTTCAAGTCATCGGTCAAAGCTCACCTCCTGTTTTGAGACCGCAGGAGCCAATGTGTGCCATCTGCATGGACAAGATCAAGGACCCAAAGTCTCTCCAGTGTAAACATACATTCTGTTCCTCTTGCATTGAAAAGGCATTCCAGGTAAGCCGTGTGCTGTACTGTAATTTTCTACCACAACTGTTTTTGATATTCAAAGGTTATCATTTTTCTTGTTTGACAATTGTATTACATGTATCTGGAACTTTCTATTTAAGAAGAATTACTGTTAGTCCCATGTTTGAGGGATATCACAAAATAGCTGAATAGTGCAGGCCTTTTATTTTGGTTATCTACTGTACATGTACCAGTTTTAAATTATGAATGTAATTAGCAGTCTTTGATCATTGTAATTGTCCTTTAGCATGTTCAGTCTAATAATTATTCAGAAAGATAACTGTATGCACCTCATTCTTTGAATGGCCAAACATGTTGTATTGCTTGTATTTTTATTTGTCTGAGGTGCCACAAAGGAAAGGCTCATTTTTGCATTGTTTCTTGCAGTTCAAGCCAATCTGTCCCATCTGCGGTGTGAGTTATGGCAAGTTACAAGGTGACCAGCCAGACGGCAGCATGAACTACACTACAGTTTCCTCAGATCTTCCCGGATACCCAGGCTGTGGAACTATTATCATTACTTACACATTTCTGAACGGAATCCAAACTGTACGTGCAATCTATGTAGCCTCCAAGGCATTTTTGCTAGGAACCGTCATTAATGCTCAAAAGTTGTTGTCATACAAATCAGTCACATGTCAGTCACATGTCCTTCAGTCATGAGTTTATAAGTCACAGGTTTAGTGTTCAAATGAACTGTAGCAAAAAAATTCCTACTCCTGCTTGAGACCTCACTTGTGGTTGACTTGATTTTCATTTATATGGACTTGTGATTACTTGTGATTTGATGTGCTGTGAACTTGTGATTTGACTAATAGACTTTTGATTTGACTTGTGTTTGGCCATGTTATTTGACATGTTATTTGACATGTTGTAGACTTGCAAATCAGTTTGTGACTTTATTTGTTCTAATTCTTCTCAGGATGAACACCCTAACCCAGGGCTGCAGTACCGAGGGACCCAACGCCAGGCCTACCTACCAAACAACAGGCAAGGCCAAGAGGTACTCAAGCTATTGAAGACGGCCTTCGATGCCCGACTTTTGTTCACCATTGGTCGATCAGTCACAACTGGCGCAGATAACACGGTCGTGTGGAACGACGTGCATCACAAGACAAGTCAAACGGGCGGGTCGGAAATGTAAGTTAAGAGAGAGGGAATTAACAGGCTTGGGACGGACTTCCATTATCCCTGACTTCTTAACAAATGCCTTAAACATTTTAACATTGACTTGTTTCACGGCCATTACCAGACCAGTTTGTATTTGGATGGGGGAAGGGGAGGGGGGTGGTCGACACATTTGTATAACGAGGGCACTATTCAAAACAGTCAATATGCTAACGGCCAAAAGTTGGCGCTTTTCTTTGCAACATATTTGCCAACAGACAAAACTTGACTAATAGCAACAGATCATTGGATATACATGTACATAGGTATTGTGATTTGGGAGATTTTAGGAACAACAACCGCACACCATAAGTATAGTGATCAGTTGTTTTTACAGCACAAGACAAGAAGGATGGTGTGCCAGGCAGATTTTGTAGACTTTCCCCAAAATGGGACAGAAAAACAAGCAGAATCAGAAGTTTGCTCATTCTTAGTGATTTCCCAATATGTTTTTGTTCATCCGGTGCTAGTCAGAAGCCATACACCATATTCCATGTGGCCAGGTATCAGGCCCAGAGTCACCATGCCAGCAAACCTTGATAATAGTCAACATTGATCATGTTTAAATGCTCGTAGAAACTTGGAATAGCATTTGTTGATCAAACTTTGTGTTGGTAATTTTTTTTCAGGCATGGCTATCCAGATCCAACATATCTTCAGAGGGTTCGAAAAGAGCTGGAGGCAAAAGGCATCAAGTAGAGGAAGAAAATGTGTCACAAAGACGTGATGCCATCATCCCTGTTGTAGCCAGAGGATGGAAGTTTTTTTGTGCAAATTAATTTTTTTTGCAGCTTTTTAGAGGGCCACAGAAAGAGAAATATGAACCATATAAGATTGTATCATACTTTGTACATGTATCTCATCAACTTTCTTTGTTAATATTTTTGAATTACACTTGTATTCATAAATACCTGAGACAGTTTACTATTCCCATTGGTTGAGAGCCTGTCATGTGGGTGGATTGAAACTGCTTACACCACCTGGCTTTAAAGACTTAATTCCTGCAGCGCTGTTTTTAGCACTACGCGTGCGAGGCACATACCATAGACATGGCCAGAGTGGTGTTTCACAAAAGTAAGGTTGTTAAAAAAAATCGTGAGTTTGTACAAAAGCGCTACTGTAATGAAATTGTAATTAATACAGATGTTGGATTGTCTCTTTTATTTTTTTAAGCAATGTGGACACAGTTATAGTGTCATGATGGCCCCCATTAATGGCAGAGAGGTTATGAAACAGTTTTGCTTAACTCATATAGTAATATGCATTGTAAAGTTCATGTTCCCTCCTTGAGTGCGTGGAAAAAAGTTGAAGTAGGCATTTGATAAATTCAGAATACACAGAGCCTTTATAAAAATGCACAAAAATATTAAAGTTTAATGAGATAATTTTCTCAAGTCACTATAAACATTGGATCAGGTGACGTCTATTAAGAAAAATTTATTATCAACCTTTTACATATTGCATTTGTGAGAAAAAGAGGTTTTTTTTCTCTTTTTCTTCACGTTGCACAGAATGCCAAAATCACATATTTGGCATTGTGTACAGCAAGTCAACACGTTAATATTGTGTTGCCAATGTATATTCTCCGGACTTTTGACAGATCACAAAACTAAGGCATACACGTTCTTGCAAATTGTTGAAATTATTTGCCTAGTAGCCAGCACAGGGCACTGGGAGCCCGTGAGCTGATGGCAGTGTACAGGATTGGTCTACAAAACTCGGATCTTATTCAATATTGCCAAATTCTGTTGAGTACTTAAAGTAACTTTTGAGTTCTGATAGTTTATCTGTGAGTTTGTGTTGTGATTCTGCAGTGTTGCGTGCAAAAGATTGGAAATTGTAAGTACATGTACAAACATATCTTTACTTCTTTCGCCATTATTTTTCTCTGTCTTGCCTTTTGATAAAAAAAATAAAATTCTACCATGAACAGCCAATGAATTCTTTAATTGCTACTTTGTCGAATTTAAACCTTTCCAATTGAAATTTTAACATTCATGAGCAAAACTTTGATGTCATCAGAGAAGCTTCATTATCATTATCAGCTTTGCTGTGGTCACTTTCGTCTTTGGTTACTATGGCAGTGTGTCATTTTTATTTACAAAGTGCTACAAAATAACACTAAAAGTCATAATCTATACAGAAGTTCCTTGAACTGTAAAAAAATTGGAGAATATGGCGACTGCTCCAGTGAACATGACATAACAAGCTTCAAATTTTCAAACATTTTTTCTTCTGTTTTTTTTAAATAACCTCATTGTAAATATACAAATCTAAATTCTGATGTATAGTATTTTATTGTAGATTATATTTTTGTTGAGCGTGCTGCAAGTAAATATTGGCTGATGATTGCAGTGTGGTTTAAAAAGACACAAGTTTTTCCCTAAATAAAGTTTACAAGAGTGTCTGGAAGGTATTTGCTTTTGCTGTAATTTTCAGAAATGCATGGATTTGGGGGTCGGTAATTTATAGCAAATACTGTAATACTGACCTGTTTAAAGTTTTGTGTTCATAGATGCTAAAAAAAAACAAGGGAAAAAAATGCTGTTGTAGTCTGGGTCCCTGACTGTACTTCAGACGAAACGGAGCAATTTATAGATGTCAGGGAATTTTCAGGTCAGGGAACCAGACTACATGTAGGTGGCATGTGCCTGTTCACGGAATTGTTACTGATTGCAAACAAAATGTGGACCAACTAAATTTGGTCAGTTAGGGGTAATTGAAAAAAAGTAATTTTCCCCCAACGATAGTCAGCCGACCATCGTTGGAAATTGATACAAATTTTCCAATTTTTTTTTAAATTACAGCACACCAGGTGCCATGATTTCACAGGATGCTTGAGACTATTATTCACTTACAGTCAATTACGACATACATGTAGGCACACAGATTTTATTTTTTGATGTTCGCAAATGTATATGACCTTAAAAAATGGCAGTCTGGACAGTAGAGCCCGTCTCCAACTCTCCATTTATGATACAATGTGTATTGAGTTTGATGGTACATGTACATGTACATCATGTACAATGTATATATTGTATACATTGTATACATTGTATACATGTACATGGCATTTCTAGGACATGAAGGATTGGTGTAATACATGTTGTACAGCTGCTGGAGTTTTATTAAATGCTGTTGCACATCTCCTTCAATAAACCACACTTTATTTCCATTGATTATACTCAACTTTGTGATACATTTTGTACCTTGAACAAGGAGACAATAGATTCTCTGCACGGCAGCCATCTTTGAGGTGCATGCATTTTAGGATGCACAATGTATACACATGAGGCAAGCCAGGAGATTTCTTGTACATTTTTTTTTATTTTAAAGAATAAAAGCATCCCCAAGATGGCCAAGAATGCAAAGGGTCTATGTTAAAAAAACACAAAATTTAAAACTCAAATTTCAACAGTTAAATTAGTTATTGCAAGTAAATGATTAACATAATTTTTTTTTACAAAAAAGTTACAATTCTCTACACTTATTATAATGCATTTGATATTTATTTCCCCCAATATCCAAAACGTTATTGAGGCATACAATCAGTCAGCAATTTTGTAAAAGGAAAAAAAAAAAGAAGTTTGATCTGCATATGTAGCAAATTGCTTTTACTTGTTAAACTTTTGTATAGCAAAAAATTACTGAATAGTAAACTCTGAAGGCTGATGTAGTGAGGCGTTAGAATTGCCATACACTTTGTGAAGCAGATCAAGGGAAATTGCTTTTGACTTTTGTGGGTTAAATCTGTCAAGGGAATAAACACTTCACAGAGTAGTTGGTTTAATCTCAGTATGCTTGTTCAATGAACATGAAAACTCATACATGTCGAACCAAATCATGGTATCATGATGTTGCAGTGATTAGGGTCAGATAAGTACAGTTGTCGCTCTATTGGCCTACTAGACAAAACCAGAAATTGATATTATTAAAATATAAATTGAAAATTGAAGTCTATAGATATTTTTTATGCCCATTTAGGGCATTATGGCATGTAAGTCCATAAATGTGAGGCTTTCTGGCAAAATGGGACAGAAGAGGGCAGAAAAATAAAAAAACAAAACAAATAAAGCGATTTTTCTTGTTCGATTATCAGAATTATTGATATGTGTTATCTTTGATACAAGTCTACTGCATATTTTAAACAAATGTAAAAATTGTGGAATAAAAATTTAATTCAAGGTAAAACAATTAGGATGTTTCATTTTCACGAATACAAAACTCAACATTTATATTAAAGTCATTTTTCTCACTATATTATATTTTTGACGTTGAACGGTTGTACATGTAAATGAAAATGTAAAACAGCCATGAACTTGTCAACAGAATGTCCGATAATTTAAAGTGCAACAAACAGTATTGCAAGTAGAATTTCATCCTCTTTCCTAATACCAGCAAACCCTCATTTTGACCTCTGCTCAGTTCTTTCCCATTTTGCCAGAAAACCTCACAAATGGGGTCAAAAGTGTGACTTTTTTCGTGTCCCTGTTACACCTGAACTGTTATTTGCCATACATAGTTTCGATAAAATCCACTTATTGTATTTGTTTGACAGGTACAATTCACATAATCACTCTTGGATTCAGAAGGTAATAAAGATGTCCCGATTTTACATCTTACACCCATATCAAATGTAACAGGGGCATGAAGAAAAGACATCGGACCCCAAATAACCCTTGTGGAAGCTGTTGGCACCATATCGATATACAAGGAATTTTGATGAAATGAATCGTGTAAATACATGTATCACTTTTAAAGCCTTTGCGATCAAATGTCAAACTACTTAAGAAGCATTGTGTGAATAAATCCCAGGCCATTTCTGGATTAGAATTATTAGTTTTGCCTTACATTTCCAGAAAGACAGAATTTGTAAAAATAAATGGTCTCGCTACCACTGATAACATTTCCTCTGAAATATAGAAATAAATTGACATGAATTAAACACTTGTTTGTTCATTTTGTGTACTCTGTTAAGGTTGCTCATTTACATACCGGTATCTCCAAATTCCTTTATTTTTTGGTAAAATGTCAGCGCGCATATACAAGCCTTAATCCAGTTGCTCCATTATTTTTGTTTATATATATTAAGATTATGGCTGCTTTGCTGGAGAAACAAAGCTACTGACACTCAGGAAAAATTGTGCGAAGAGTTCCTTACCTGGCCAAACGTACCTTGTATTTTCATTGAAGACAAATCCATTAAGATTGAGAAAGATGAAATCATACGAGGACACCACGTTGTTTCGGCCATATTTTGGGTACATACATGTATATTATTTGGATATCCAATCGTGTATGCAGCCATAGAGTCAGGAAGTGTATGCAGTGCGCAAATAAGTTGGTGGCCAGATACGGTACCCTTTCCAAAATTGAAAATGTTAAATGTGCCAGTTTAAAATATTAGAGTAAACACATGATGTTGTACATGTATGTCTCTACATGAAAATCAAAATATTTGTATCTCTCTTTAGAAGCATCAAGTTTTAGTAATTTTGCAATTTCTCCCAAAAATCCTCCTGACTGGACGAAACTAGGTACCCGATTTCAAACTGGTGATTTATATTTTGTAGGCACTGAAATAAATATAAATTACGTACAAACACTTTTCATTTGTGTCCATGACATAGGATTCTAGTGCTGATGTAGAAGTCCATCTTCCCCATTTAGTTCCTCTGTCTCTGTTTCAGAGTTGCTATTGACATACTGCATGATTTCCTTGTGGCATAACGGGCAGGTGTCTTGAACGTACAGCCACTTCCGAAGACACAGTGCATGGAATAGGTGCTGGCATGGTGTGACTCTCGCTGTGTTGAGATCCTGGTAGCAAATGGCACAGACGTCATTGTGTTGCCTTAACTGGTACTCTGTTGCCATGGGAAGGCCATTGATCTTATGCACGGCCATGCGGCGATTCTGGAACTTTTTCCAGCCGTTCTTGCCGAGCTGGAAGATGTTGAAGTAGGCGTGGATGCAAATCATGATGGCGCGGATGATGCCACCGGACTCGAAGAACAGGATCCACACACCGTTTCCAAAGAGGAAAATGCCAAAGACGAACTCTATGGTGCTTCCCGTGGCTTTGATGTAGTACACGTAGTCGTCAAGATTTTCCCAGAACTTGTCGCTGTACGTGTCGATGAGAAACAGCGTGTAGATGATGAGGGTGACAGTTACTTTGATGATGAGTTCCAAGCAGAAGGCGGTTACCGCTAGCAACCACGTTCCCATGGTGATGGAGGACCACAGGTATGTGATGACAGTGGCGGGGATAAGAATGAGTAGAAGAGACATGCTTAATGCTCGGGCGTGTTTCCATACGGATGTGTTATGAGATGTACTCAATGCCATCATCACGTGGTTTAGCATGTTGTGGATGAAATGCAACAAAGCTGTGATGAGGAGAATGAAATTGCGGAAGAGGCGAACAAAGCGTTTCATGGGTTCTAGCCCTGGCAGGCCTGTTTGGAGCGACAGGATGAAGAATAGAATGGCTGTGACGGTGCCAATGTGGGCAACTTCGTCGGAATCCCCACCCATAAGTCTATCAGCCCATTTGCCAAGATAGTAGGACAGATACGACACGATGGCAGTCAACCCTAGGACAGCAAGAGTGGAATCGCAACCATGGGTTGCCAACTCCAGCAACGCCATCCAGGCAAAATTATTATCCGGATTCATACCAATGACGTGACTTCCATTTGAGAACACCATATTGCTTGCCATAACCCCAGGCAGCGTCATGTCAGACACAAATGCAAAAAGAATTTGCAGGACATGTATTGCAAACCGCAAAAGCCAAAAGCTCCGCAAAACATTGGGTACTTGAAATTCGACCCACGCATTCTCAAGCAAGGAATTCAAGCCAAGATTACGTAGCATGAACCGGTAGGTTGTGTACCAAAGCGGCACGTGCAAAACGCCATACATGATATTGGACACGCATATCGCTGCCATTTCAAGGGAAGGGACTAGAACGGACAAAGCTTGCAAGGTGGCAAGGGTAGTGAAGGGTAGGTTGTCTGGACTGTAATACATCAGGCTCAGACGGATCATCATTGGTGAGATGAAATAGGTGCACATCGCCAGCCAAATGGTCAGCGTGAATCGCTCTGGCAGTAATGTAATACAAGCCACGTAAGTGAAGGCGTAGAACATCTGCACCATGATGTAGAGAATGAACTCCACGCTGAGCAGAATCTGAACTGGTGTAACTGTTGAACTGAAGGACGAATCTTGACTCGTCATAGACACCAAGACATCCCAGTCAGATAAATTCTTGTCCTGATCAACCTTGAGAAGCATGACGTGGTTCCACCACACAGCACTAGCCAAAGTACCAAGGCAAAGAAGCAGGATGTAGATCTTGAAAAGCGTCTTAGTTGCGAGACAGAACATCACCATGGCAACAAAAAGACCTGTTGAAAGACACAAGATAGTGCACGAGTAAAAATAACCTTCCCTTGAATACATCATCCCATGACACCCTATTGGCTATAATTTAAACTTTGTGTATATTGTGCTGTTGTCATCACATTGTCATCACAGTGATATGCGCTTGATGGAATTGTTTCAATACTAGTATTATCAGGCACCTTTTACCCTGTTTACTATTTGACACAAAATGTGTGAATTGACACACCCCTTGTGTTACAACCCAAGACTGGACATGATGCTACTTCAATGCAACGTTCCCAGGGATCAAGGGGTTTAAAGACTGGTTCATACTCAGCGCAAAAGCAATTGCAAACGTGAATTTGTGATGTCACATCAAGTTTTAGCACTGCGAATTCACACAAGTTGAACACATTTCAGCACTGGCAAATTTGCTTCGAATTTGCATTCACATGAAGTATGAACTGGTCTTGAATACCAGTGACAGGTTCACAACCACAAAATGTCCTTACTTATAACCAGAACGGCTGCACACCACACTGGGTGGTCCACCCCAAACTGGCCCGTGTCGATGCGTAGGTTCAGGATGGCGTCGATGAGGAACAACGAGGGTATCCGCAGGGCCACGCCCAGGACAGCTTGAACCTTTCGCCCCAGCTTAAACATCATCTTGTCGTAGTGATATTGGAGCAGATAGTAGAAGATCTGGTGCATCATAACTAGGCAGGGACAAGGATGGCCACGTCCATTCCAAATTTAGGAACGGATAACTCCAAAAAGAAACTGACAAAAAAGTAACAAAAAAAACAGGCTAAGTAATACTTTATAATACTTTACTTTACTTTTGGCTTCAAATACTTTTTTATATTAGTATTTTTATTTATATTTATTTACTCTGTACACAACTTGATGAGGAGTGGCAGGTCTTTGGCCACTGTGAGTGTTATCGCTTTTGCCTCTCCTATGCCCATCTTGTATGTGATGAAATAGAATTGGCATGAATAAATAATAATAATAATAATAATAATAATAATAGGTACAGCAAAAAAAAAGGAAATTCCTGTATCTGCATTAGTGTTGTTAATCATGTTAATACGCCTATCAAATGTTATTATTATGATATTATACTCTACCTTAAATTTAAACACTTAGGTACTGCACACGTCCATGACGTTCGATCTATGAGACTCGACTATGACCTACACTACAGTATACTGTATTAACATGATCATGTGCGGAAATAATCAAATTCAAGTGACAATAAAAACAGACAAAACAGTTTTAAAAGCACATTTTTCAACATGTTTAAGAAACACAACTTTCAGGAAATTTATTATTACTGAAACTCTGTACTTTAAAGCTTCTTGTTTCCTTTCCAAAATATTGATAATGCAGCATGCAGTCATAATAATTAACGTATAAAACTCGGTAAATATTGATACGAACCTTGGAAAGCATATACTGCAGTGCACTGTACCATATGCAGTAAATCCCCATTGCCTTTTTTACTACGGTTTCCCGGTCTGGTATCCTGATACCCGTATTGAATCGTCACAAGGATACCTGTTGGGTGCCAGACGAGTCAGTCCCATGACGCCTGCGACTCAGCGTTGTGTTTTTATTCCTCAATCAAAATCAAAATCATTGACGGAAAATGGAAAATATGAAAAGATCAACAGCGAGGCATTAAGGGGATAGGACATATTAATTACTGCTATACATCTAAACACTTGGGTGTTGACTTTTATGTCACTTTTTTCCTAGTTAAAAATCAATGCGACATGATTACATAAAAAAAATCGGGACAACGTACGTGCAATAAAACAGGTCAATGAACTTTTTAATTGACATCGATCGTACGCGTCAACAACGACGACGTTTGGCGGAGCACTGAAGAGCTCAAATTTACCATTTCAAGTGTTATTCAGAAAAAAACAAGACCCACGAACACACAGAAGGGGTCTCATACCGTCAAAAAATGGAAATCAGCAGTCGCCAACTCCACATTTGGCGGTTTTCCAATGTGGTCCTTCGCCTACCGAGTGTCTTCATTCTGGAAGCCATCCACAATTTGAGACGGGGGCGCAAGATACGCGGCACGGTGGAGAGTTTGGCCAGTGGCTGGGAGCTTGAGCCTCACGCCGTGACGATAGGATCTCAGTTTCTCGGTCGGTTCGGTTCACTAATGTTGATTTTGTTGGGTTTTTTTTTTTACTGAAAAACAGCTCAATAAGATAATGGTGGATATATTATTCATTTTTTTGCTCAAAATCGTTGGGTTCACTTTTGTTGATTCGTGTTTTTGTTTTTTTAACTGAAAAACAGCTCCATTAAATATTATTTATATATTATTATAATATTATTATTAAATAATATATTTTTTTCTCAAATTCGTATTAAATAAAAAAAAGGGAAAGATTCCCATATCTGGCCATCACTAATTTTTCTCTTCAGTGACCTATCAGCCATCAGAAAGTGTTAATAATATGTCCTAAAAAGCCAGTTTTTAACAGGGAAAATATTGAAGTATTTACTGAGAAAATGCTTAGAAATTTTCAGACCTGTCTCGTAATCCGTATGGTTTGTGCACAGGGTGACAAGTGATGGCCAGATATGGGAATCTTTAAAAAAAGAAATTAAGTTGAAAAGAACCCCTACTTACAATATTTGCAACTCTGTCATGTCTGTGTTGAATGTTTTGTGTAGTTGTTACATTTTTTGTGGTTTATTTATAATTAGCCTACATATTGTTTATTAACGTTGTATTATTTAATTTTTTTTATTTCAGGTTACTTTGTGGTTTTCCTCTTGCATGCCTTACCGCTGAGAATGTTGATCAAGCTCTACAAATTCATCGTTGTTGGTCTTCTGCTCCTGGCTGCTCATCTCCTATCGGACTACTCACTGTCTCGTGAAACCACAGTCCCCCAGAGTTCTCTCGTATCAGCGGTGACGTTCACCCTTGCAGAAGTGGTCATCAGCCTGACTTGTGCACGTCTAATGGGGACCAAGCATGTATGGGCCTTCGCAGCATACACACTACCCCAGATTGCGAAACTGAGTGGTCTGCCTCTTGATGTGCAAGAATCAGCGCATGAAGTTGCCCAGGTCTTGACCCTGACTGAGGTGACACTCTTCACCCTCAGACATGTTCTCGTGCCGTTCCGCCTGGCTCTGATTGGCTACAAGACTCTCCAAGAGTATAGTGAACTCTACGGCATCGTCAGTGTCATCTTTGCGTTGTACAATCGTTTCTTTGTGCCAATGCTGTATCTGATTTTCTGGCTGGTGCTGTTTGTCCATCGGCTGTACGTGTATTACTCCACAAAGGACCGTCGCATTGTCGGAGAGCACTGGGTGTTGGTGATATTCGCTGCCATCGCTGATTGCTGCGAGAGTCCTTGGAGCTTAGTTGGTCTGTGCTACACAGTGTCTTACACGGCGTTCCTTGTCTTGTTTCTCTGCAAGCTGTATCTCAAGGGTTTCAGCAGCCTTGGAGGAGAGACTTTCCTACATCGTGGTTGGACAGAAGGCATCACAGTGATGCTGCTCGCCATGGAAACGGGCCTGCTAGAGCTGAAGAAGTTGGAGAGAATCCTCCTCCTGAGTGTGCTCATGTACATCGCCCTGTCCTCAACAATCCAATCAGTGTATGAAATACTTGACCCAGTACTTCTTGCTCTTGCTGCGTCCAACAACCCAAGCCCCTGGAAACATTTCCGAGCACTCAGCATGTGCGTAGCGTTGATGGCCGCCCCTCTGTACCTGAGCTACATGCTGTTCGTGGTGTTTGAAGCCCAACTGTGGCTGATGATCATCGTATCTAGCTGCTTGTTGACCACAATCCAAACCCTAGGTTCCCTGACAATCTACCTGCTCTTCATGGCCGATCACCGTCGCGCTACACCGTGGGAGAGTTTGGATGACTTGGTGTACGGCATCCATGCTATGTGCCATGTCATGGAATTTGGCATAGCGCTCTCGGTCCTGTTTTATGGTGGGATGGAATCATTCCACAGTGACTACAACCTTTTTGGTGCAGCCATCATACTCATCCATTGCTACTTCAATGTCTTCCAGCGAGCTCAGGCAGGATGGCAGAGCTTCCTCACTCGCAGGGATGCGGTCCGTAAGATCAACTCGCTTCCTTCGGCAACCAAGGGAGAGCTCTCCTCCCTCCGCGACGTCTGTGTCATCTGCTTCGAGGAGATGACGTTTGCTAAAGTTACTCCTTGCAAACACTATTTCCACAGCGTCTGTCTGCGTCGGTGGCTGTATGTGCAGGACAAATGCCCGCTTTGTCACAAGAGCATCTTGCCAGAAATGCCCCAGCCTCCTCAAGGGATTGAAGAGCCAAGAGAAGAGTTACCATGGCAACCACATCCAGATCTTGGGCAAGGAGATGGCATGATGGCACTTTAGTTCCGATTTTTTTTAAAAAGCCATTGCTTTTTTTTTTCAAGCATTTTAATCAAACAACTCTCATTGCCAAATCAAATAGTTAGATACTTTATGTTCAACCATTTTATATTTAAAGATTAAATTAATGACCAGTGCAAACAATCGGGTAGTGATTGATGTGTGCAAAAAAACAATCAGTGATAACGAATATTTTTCTTTCAGTTTTATTGAAATTTAAAAAAAAAGTTTTAATGCAAAGAAGATGACTTCAATTTGTTGTTATGCATTTGTGTTCCTGCAATCATCCAAGACTTGATAAAATCATGAGTCTTCATTCGTTGAAATTTTACACAAAAATGGATGGGGGAATGACAGTATTCGTGTCTGAATGATTCCAAACATGATGAGTGTTGGGCAGATAATGTGATTTTGTCAATTTTCAAAGAATGATTTTGTGTGTCGTCATATAGTACGGTGTCATACATGTACGTTCACATACATTGTATATTTATGAAATTGAAGCAAAGTGATTAACCATTCCTGTACAGTGTGCATGATGTGCATGTGTGTACAAACTAAGGTGATTGGAAGTACATTTCTGAAAATGTGTACATATTGACAAAATAGTGTCGCCTTTTTCTTTTATGAAGTCGCTTACTGGACAAAAAACATATACATGGGGGGGGGGGGTTCAGTGTGTAACACAGACTGAAAGTTTGGACTATCAAAGTGTAGCAACTTCAAGTTTGGATGAACCATGGTGAGGTGTATGTAAAAAATGCCGCTTAAAGTGTTGCTTTGTTGCTTAGAATAAGATTTAGTTTTGCTATTGAAAGCTGCTCCATTGAATTGTCTGTCTACCTAAGTATACATTAGTGCTGGGATTAAAATCAAGATTTGAAGAAAAAAAAGGTGTGAATTTCACCATTTGGTTTGGATTTTGGAAACTAGTAATTCGAAACCAACCTTAAAAAAAAACCAGGCCTTTCATTTTTTGTGATACAAGATAAAGACAATTACTTTTAACATCCCCCAATATTCTTGGTTCATAGCTTGCCCATTCCCATCCATGTTTTTGACATTACATCTCTGGAGTGTTTTTGTAAAGGCCCAGTGGTTATTGAGTGCCACAAACTACACCCAATTATCGCGGAGGGCATTGCATGCGGCACCTTACTTGCCACTTTTTGTGATATTTGTTAGCACGACTCTGTGCTAAATGGGAACTTCTGGTGAAATAAGATAACCATTTGAATTTTTTTTAGGATAACTGGGTTTTTAAATCTCCAAATTCTCCCACCACTAGCATGCATGTACTTGTATTGAACAGTTGACTGTTAAAAATGTGTTGTAATTCTAACTAAAAAGGACACAAGTTGACTTTAACAAGAAAAAGGACAAAAACAAATTGTTCCAGTCAACTTCTATTTTGTTGTTTCATCATGTTTATTGTTTATTGTTTAAAACATCTTTGTTTATTACATGTATATGTTTTGTAATACACAGCTAACTTTCATCTTCTGATTCATGTACTGTATACATGGACACATTTTTGGCCTCTGAGGCCATTGCAGTAAAACAGACGTTTCTTTAGTTTTAGCACTGCCTATGAATTTTGGGACATATAAATTGTACGCCGTAGGAGTGGTTATGTCATACATTTTATGGTGCTGAGGTCAAGCGTTGCCCAGGTAATGTGTCCAAACAAACATGGCCTAATGTAGCAGTATATTCATTGTATTGTGTCCTCTTTTTTATCAATTTTTCATCCATTTGAAAGAAAAATAACGGCTTCATGAGTGATGTCTACAGTCAGCTACAAAGCACTGTCCTATTTTGCAGACTTAAATACTTTTAATGTCTGAGAAATTTCGACTAAAAGTTTTTCATTTAAATTGCTTGTTCAAATCATACGGTAAAAATGGCAGCCAAGACATTGTTTGGACACATCACTATTGGAGATGACCCAGCATGACCTCATACTTCTACGGTGTATTTTTAGTGGAGTACCAAAGACTAGCAGTACGTTGCAGTATTTTTGAGCTTGCTTGCTTGCCATGCCAAGAGATAGTATAATGGCTATACTACTTTTTTTATTTTTGCTACAAATAGAAATTTGCTCAGAACGGAAAATATTTGCTCAGCACAAGGATTTTCATAATCGACATTTTTCCTTTAGCATCTCCATGGAATTGGGCTCAGTTGATACTGCAGCGGACCTCCCATGTCGGTAATCTATTGAATCCTCTATTCCGCTTCAAATTTTTTTTTTTAAGATTGTGTGTTAGACTTCGCGAAAAATTGATAACAAAAATGAAATTTGTGCAATACAAATAAAGACACCATAATGGATTTGTGATTCCTTGGTTTTTCTGCAGTGTGGTTTTGTCCATATGAGTAAAACAACATTTTGAAGCCTATTTGCTTATCTACATTGTACATGTACCCCATTCCTTTTTTTAAATTCCCTTTTCGTTGCTTCATCAAATATCTGTTTTACAAAAAAACCTGTTGTTTTAAGGTTGTGGTCTCTTAAGAAAAAACAATCTCAACAGAATTGTCTCCTTAGAAGGGTGAACATTTGTAGGTTTTTTTTTACCTAAGGTAACCGACTACACAAAATTTGGCAGTTCCACAGTGTCGTACGTACATTTTGGACAATACAACAGTTCATAATTAAAGTTACAATCACGAAGTTGATTTTAATTCTGATAAGATGTATTGGTGAGTTACTACAATGATTTAAAAAAGAACTTATTCATCTAACTTTGTTGCTGTAGTAGAAACCGGCTCTAAACGCTGTGGTGGTCGGACGCACTCGCACAAATAATTTAATTAATTTATCAGTTGCAGATGAACTGTCGAATATTGTTAGAAATCCACCACATGTATATTTCAATAGAATACAGATAACAAGCTTCAAAATTATGTATTTTTTGTTTGTGGTATTTGGACCAACAGGGCAACGATCGTGAGCGAAGATTTCCACCACACAGCATTTCAAAACTCTTATTATTTTTGAGCAATGATACTTTTGATAAGTATGGTTAAACAAAAAGAGTTAAATAATGCAACACTATCTGGAATGGGACTGCAAAGGTCTGGGGTTCAGATCCAGTTCAATCCAGTCCCTCACTCAGTTGTGTACCTGATAAGACTTGAATAACATAGGTCTCCTTTTGTACTGATGATGATTTGTACACAAACTTTTGACAATTATTAATATCTGAGTTGCACCATCTTTCAGCTCTTAGTGGGAAATCCCTCGTCAAGGTCTCCGTTCTCCAACATCTCCTTGATAATGTCCAATCCACCAACCAGATCCCCATTCAGATAAAGCTGGGGAAAGGTCGGCCAATTCGAGTAGGTCTTCAAACCTGAGATGAGAAAAACAACGAAGACATATAGAAGAATTTGTCATCTTAAATGGACTTCTGTGTCCTCATGGTCTGGTTCATCAAATTCAAGATTTTGGGTTAATTCTACACATTGTGGGTTCGAGTCCAGCCTGGGGTTAATGGAGTGTGTGTTCTAAGGAAAGACACTTTTCACTGATAACATGCACAAGGTCACGAAAATTTATAAATGTGTGTGCAAGATCATAACTCGGACAAGTTTAAAAGCATCCACAGGTTCTGCTTTTTGTTCTAGTTTGAGTGTACCTTGTCTAACTTCGTTGTCTCCTAAGATGTCAAACGTCTTGTAGTCAATGTTCTTATCGTTCAGGATTCCAATTGTTGTCCGACTGAAGCCGCATCGTGGTTCCTCTGGGTTTCCTTTCATGAACAGCATGCAGGGAGCCGTGTTGATCAGCTTCTTGAGCCTGCCGTTCAAATCCTATTTAAATAGAACAAAATAAAATAAAACATGACAATGAGCTTTGTTTCTTGATAAAATGATTGATTACAAGCCAACAGACTTCTTACACTGGTCACTATTCAAATGTGTCAATAGAGATGCAGCATTGTTTGATGCAGTGAGGCGTTGGCCGATTCGACTACCTCACGTAAGAGGTCAAATCAGCCAAAACCAAAGGACGGTTAATTTTGTTCTTCTCTGAGCTAGTCTTTGGGTAAAATATGTACTTCCATGGCACTATTGTGCAAAGAAATCCTGGAAGATCAAGTAATGTGAAATAAGGATCTCTTGGTGATGGCTGAGTTTGACTACCTCACTCCCCATCATGTCAGGATTGAGTGATAATTTGCCGCCACCTCTGGACTAGTACTTTCAAAATACTTCCCTTCAATCATACATCAATCATATGTGTTTGTAAATACTTCACCTTTTTAGGGAAATCTTCATCTAGGTCGCCGTTCTCGTTCATTTCTTTGATGATATCTAAGCCACCGACCAGCTCCCCCTTGAGGTAAAGCTGTGGGAAGGTGGGCCAGTTGGAATATGTCTTCAAACCTTCAAGGAAGAGGAACACAATAAGAAAACAGTAGACAAGAAGTAACAAATTAAACAATTGATCAATCCTGTAGCTGGAATAAAAAATGTGAAATTTGGCAGATTTTTTGTTGAACCCATACCTTGTCTAACTTCGTTGTCTCCTAAGATGTCAAACGTCTTGTAGTCAATGTTCTTATCGTTTAGGATTCCAACCGTTGTCCGACTGAAGCCGCATCGTGGTTCCTCCGGAGTTCCTTTCATGAACAGCATACAGGGAGCCGTGTTGATCAGCTTCTTGAGTCTGGAGTTCAGATCCTGTCACGGCCAAAATTAATCAAATAAATGACATGTTGAGAGACCAACAACACATTGTGATAGCTTCAAATTCTTATAAAAACACTACGTCTATTTTGGAGAAATATCATTTTCATTTTGCATTTGGAATTGTGTCCCAATTTTGTTAAGGAACGAATATTGTGTCATTATAATTACTGTGGAGAAGGAGGGTTTTTGGTGGGTTTCGAAAACTTCCAGGCAATGACGCAGGGTTAAATTATGCTTGACTATACTGTGGTATGGCAACAATATTTAAGTCTCAGTAAAGTGCACCGTTTCAAGGGCCCTACAACTTCGATTCGCAAGACTTAAACTTATATTGTGAAGATGAGTTGTCAAGACTACAGATTCAACACTGTCTGTCACTTGCCTCTTTTGATGAAGTTTCTGGCTTAGAGTCTGGAGTTTCCGCTGTCTTGGATGGTGGAGCATTCGGAGGTGGGGCTTGGCCAGATGAGGCTTTGGAATGCTGCTCAACTTTCTTGTTAAACTCCGGACCATTTGCACCGTGAAGTGTATCCACAACTTTCTTATTCTGTACACAATCACATAAAGAAGCTGTCATAATTGCTTACTACCATGACTACTTTACATCACAAAGGACACTCTTTTAAGAACACAGATAAGGATCCTCTGTCACAAACAAAGTGGAGCTCTTTCAAAACTCACGGAGAGATTTCTTTTTCAGAAACTATGGAAAGGCCTACCTTTAGAAAGACAAATGTCGGTACCGATGAAATGTCATACTTGAGTGATATTTCCGGCACTGATTCAGCCTCAACCTGAAATGAATATAAAAATTGTGTTTTGACACAAAAAATGAGACAAACAAAGCACACATCGCCCTTAAGTTATGGCATAGTTTCTTTGATTTCAGGGTGAAGTCTACAGTTAGAAAACAATCTTGGAAAAAATATAGTGTATCAAGATAATAAAAAGGAAGAAATCATCAACTTTACATTTCATAAATACAAATAGAATAATAATTTTGGGGGCTTGCCTTACTCACAACTGAGAAGATGAATTGCGAAGGACGTGGCTACAAAATTATTATTTTCAAAGATTATAATTTAGTGGAAAGTTGTGCAATTCTTACCTTGACAAATTGGACGTTCAGAAACTGCTTGGCTACTTCTTGCATAACATCGTTCATGGAGACACACTGAGGTGCCCAACTTGCCCAGAAGTGCACCACTAGGAGGCCACTGCAGAACAAAAAACCAACAAGCAAACAAAGTGTTTATTTAGCCATGAACTGGTCTCTCATTTTTTCAATTCTTAAGCCGGCACATCGTACAAGTATAGCGCCCTCCAGCACATGTATACGAGTAGACTACAACATATAAGATATTTACTTACTATATCTCGTCGATCAAACGCGTGGCCTAGTGGGCAGTGCGCCCGCCTCGCAAGCAACACCGCTCGATTTTGAGTCCCAGCCTGACAGATATTTTGGACTTTATTATTTGTGTCCCCCCCCCCCAAAAGATAATTGTCTCTTTTTATTGTTTTGAATCGAATCCTAGATTTAATTGCAGAGTTCAGTTCGCTTTCTTTTTCTGGAAAGAATGTTACAACCTAGCTGCGTCACTTCAGTGGCTGTGTACAAGGTCTATATGGAGAGTCAAGAAATTTTCTGAGTACTTCCTAAACAATTTGGAAATGTTTCTCACTCTCAGTCCCACATTCAATTAATAATTCAAGTCTTAATCTTATCATCATTTTTGCAATGACTGACCTTCATTGAGATGATATAGTAGAAGAAAAAAAGCAGCGTCAGGTTGCAACATTCTTCCCTTTATCTTATCTGTGGCTCTGGAGGATTTTTAATAGGAGAAATAAAGTCCGAAAGTAGTAGGTCTGATTCACATCTCTTTAACTTAAGCATTGTTAAGCTTAAGTAATACGCAGTGGCTATTGTTACGGCAGCCGTAACGCATTTCCCATTTTCTATCGTTACGGTAGACTGCAACTTTTATAAAAACATGACAAGAAAATATAAAATTAGAAGGAAAAAAGTGAATTTGAACGTTATGAAATTCGGACTTTATTTCCCTTTTAAAAAAATCCTCCAAAGCCTCAGGTTAGAAAAGAAAAAAATTCGAGTGCAAAACTGAGTTTCGAACCCGCAACCTCGCGGTGCAAAATCCTACCCTCTATCGCCTGAGCTGCCGCACTGCTTGCTAAAACATGTGGAAACAAATAATTATATACCTGCGTGCGTATCAAAAAAGTATCGTAGAGGGCGCTAAACAACGACTGCCGTAACGATAGCCACTTCGTAAGTAATAAGTTCAATGTGAACATCGGACAGGCATGACGTGATTGTGATCGTGAAAAGCACGTCAGCATGGTCAGGGAAACCTCGCCAGAATATGGTTTAAAAATATCATGAACCCCTGCAACCAATGCACGTTTCTTGTTCTTAAAGTTATTCAACTAAATAACGAGACATCTACCTTCCTGTGGCCTCGGCAAGTGTATCAAAATCGGCAACAGAAGTCACGTCAACGAAGTTCGACATGTTTTCTTTTTCTGAGTTGAGCAAAATTCTGAATATACCGCCCTCTCTTGGCCGTAATGATGATTAAATTTTAACTAAAAGAGGGCGGTATTCTTCTTCTTCTTAAAGCAAGGTATTGCTCTTGATCCTTCACTGTCGGCGAAGGCAAGTCTCGCACAGCACATCATTGGAGAACCGTCATTGACTGATGAGACACGATTTCGGTAGTAATTTCCCATTTTTTTTGTATAGTTGTGCCCTTAAGTTTTAATTTTATTCGGTGCTACATATTAGAATTTTTGAAGAGGAATGTACAATGAAGTCGAAAACTGATGTTGCATTCGAAAACTTTCAAGAGACTAAAGTGAAGAAGAAAAAATGGCGCTCACCGAAACTGATATTTTCGCGAGTTTTTTTTTGGGGGGGGGGGGTGGCGGAGGTAATTTTTTCACGCGTAGAGGTCTTATCATTAGAAAGTTTATAACTTTGTTTTACATTTTTGATCTGTGTTCTGTCGAACTGTTTTTATGCAAGGAGCATGCATCGGGGACTCAGTCGCGCGTTTCCCGTGTATAGGTCTTGTCATCTCATCAGTGCTTTTACGGAGGACAATGGAGGATAGCCATATGGACACCCCCCCCCCTCAAATTTGGCAGCATTTAATCAACCCCAACTTTAGAGCCAGCGCAGCAGGCCTTTGTCAACTGTTAGCTTTTGTACCCGCTTCAGATTCCCGACGATGTTCACGCCCTCTCCCGATCTCGGCGGCTTCAATAAGCCAACTTTTCGCCGTCGCGCATGTGCAACTATTGAACTGGCAAACACGTCAAGCGGTCCTCGACCAATAGACAGCAACCTTACCGTTACATGGGTTTGTTGATCCAAAATTGCATTGTTCATCCATTGCTCACGTGAGATGTCAAATTGGTTTTTTAAAACCGAATCTCTTCCAATCTGTAATGGAAAAAAGCTCAACTATTGAACTAACCGTCAAACTACGCATCACCGTCTTCCCTATAATCCTGCAATACTACCGGTACCCACTGCTCTCGGTAAAGAAAATCCCTCCGCGCCCGCTGCATAATCACAACAAACATTGCTCCCTTCAGAGTAAAATATAATCCCCCCAATATCTCCTGGGGACTCCAACGAAAGTGCTTCACCGCCGATTCATCATGCGGGCTTACGGGGAATATTAGGGGTGGTTGGCTTCCTTCCCAGCAGGCGCGTCGGTGGCACCAAGACACGGTGATTGTAACTCTATTGGCGATTAACTACAGAGATGGCCAATGGCAATATCAATATCATCTCATTGCGCAAATTAGTATTCTACTTGAACTGTGCTCCAGTTGAAAATTGGATAGTTATTGCGCAGGTATAGCAGGCGTATGCGCGGACATTGACTTAAACAAATCTTCCCAACTCTAGATGAACTTATGGGCAATGGTGTTCTGGCCAATTTTTTTTTGAGTCAAAATCCGTAAGCAGTCAAAATTTGATCTGCTTACGGATTCTAATTTCTAGTATTATTTTGTGAGTTAATAATTTTTGTGAAAGTTGTGGATGGGAACCGGGGCGCCCTCTTTTGGTGTGTCATGGGCTAGGGGTCATTGTGCGGATTACGCCAGTGCGGCAAAGTGGTGCGCTTTGGGCGTATCCGCGCCATTTAATGCACTCCCGCATGATCAATACAAGTCGCTTCTAGTGACAACTCTCGACGGAGAATCCATAGGTTACGCTTGATGATTAAAGTCGCCCGTTGACAATGTCTTTTTTTCTCATCTTTGGTTTTGGTTACGCGAAAAGCTGGGGTAAACAAGTGGCGAATGACGAGTAAGCCGCCTTCATTGCAAATCAATATGATTTCTTATCCCTTTTGCCGAAAAATGTTTACTAACTTAACCAGTCTACGGGCCGTTAGTTATTGGAATATTAATATATTAATGCTGGTGATTACTTTGAAGAAAAATAAAAGTCATTTCGGAGTACAATTCGGAATGGCACAATTGAGCAAATCTTCCGGCAATACAAAAGTCATTCATTTCTGAATGAGACATCGAGTCAAGAAACAAAATCTGCCAAGGTGTAGTTATCGAATCATTATTACTTTAGGCCTACAAATGTTTGATTTTGTGACCCGATTAAATTCCGGTCACACATATTTTGCGTATTTTCGTTGAAACAAAACCTACAAATTGAAATCTTGTCTTGAACGAGAGAAAAAGAAATCGCCTTTCTTGAAGAGTGCGAACACACACAAAACGGAAATCACAAGGAATCTCTCCTTCTTGCATAGGTGGGATTAAATAGCTTGTTTTGTTATCACTTAGGCGTGAAGTCTTTCATCTCCCACGTGAGAGCGGTGAGTGTGAGAGGAAAAGACGCGTTTATCTCTCGTCGGTCGGCGTTACGGCGCGAGGATTCTAGTCGCCAGACCTGTGCTGCAGACGATGACTGGTAGATTAACGCGGTACGTTTTGGTGTTTCGCGGAAAACAAAATCACATATGGCCCACTCTTTCTACCACGTTTTGTTTTACTCCTTAATACTGAAGCGTGCGGATAGAGTTGTGAGGGATGCTTTGGTGGCAAAGGATCAAGTGATGGTTTGATCGAAGGTAAACTGACAGACTAAATGAACGGATTTCAGATTTCTGCAAAATAATTCTATAAGCAAATCCTTCAAAATGGGTCTGAAGGGCATGGCACGTATATACGAACATTTTTACATTAGCCAGAAACAAACCTAGAGATTTAACGAGAAAATAAATACGCAGTGAAATTATTCCGCCTAAATATGGTGCAGTTTGAAACAAAAATGATCATGTGCAATTTATGTGTTATCATAATTTATTTTGCATCCATATTGTTGACTGTTTATCCCGATGTGAAATTTGTCGGAATTAAGATGTTCACGGCACGTATTATTAAGAACAGGCTAGGCTTGCTAACAATCAACAGAGGGCGTTCCTGTTGTCGGTGGCCGCAAATATGGGCAGCATACAGGTAAGATGTCAACAAATTGTTTTCTAATGTCCACTTCTCTAAAAGCCAGTTGGAGCTCACGAATACTTCTCACGGAGACCTTTAATTGCCCATCAACCTGTAGTTACTACCCATGATAACCATGAGCTTCTCGTAAATAAATTAGCCAGTTTTGTTATTTATAATTTGCCCCACGCGTCACGTGAGCACTTTGATCCTAAATTGAATTTGCCAATAAGAAGTAAGGCGCCATTTAATTTACTGGGGGTAGTTTAAGTCTGACATCAGCGGACGAAGGTCTGTACAGTTGATTAAATGGTGTTAAGTTTGATTCGATTACATCAACGTTAATACGGAAGAGTTTAATTTAGTCTGGGGATAATGATTTCCTTGAATGCACGGGCAGGGCAGGGTTTAATTCTCGTAGCACTTTAAAACGGCCTAGTTGGAGTTATTCCGTAGGTCTGGTTCCTGGACGTCATTGATTTACGGTATGTTACGCTTCTCTTGTATGGACATGCGTTGAACATGCGTGGACATTAACATTCGCTACAGATATGATCTGTTTTATTTAGACCCCCCCCCCCCCAATGTAGCTTGTGCACATTCGCCTACGCATACACAGATTCCATATTAAATTTGACCTACAATTTTCTTTTCTATGTCGCAGAAAGGACTTAAATCAGACTATCTAGGCCGAGCAAACCCGCAACGGAGCCAAACATCACATGAATGTGTTTAAGGCCACTGAATTTCAGGGACCATTTTGCACTACAAGTCCCTATAAATGCATCGCAAATCCACACAGTCAACAAAATCCATCGTTGCATTACACATGAGATCCCTAGGGGAATCCCACACAGATTTGTTAAAGCTCACCCCATGCATCTCTCAAGCCCAGGACAAACATGATAAAAGACCCAATTCCAGACAGATCAGCGGGTAAATTGTGGCAATTTTCTTCCCAGACCATCTCCCTAAACCTTCTTGCACAGGTGCGCTGCATGCAAAAGGCTATAATTATGTTTCCCCACCCCACCTCCTGGCCAGTGGGAGCGGGCTAATAACTCAATTTATATTAGCCAGGTTTCTGCACACGTAAATCTGGTATGAGAGTGACAGATAGGGTGAGGCAGACGGAGGGGGAGAATGAGACGAGTAGTTCGGTGTAGTTGATCACTGTCGTGTCGTGGCATTTCTTTTCTTTTATTTGCAGGAAAGGGGTTCCTTGAGAGCAAGATCAGTCTCTTGCGTTATTGCCTGTCCCCCTGAGCCGTTCTATAATTTGAATTCAATCCACCCATAGGGTACCTTCGTCTCACCTCACACAGATTCTTGTCCATCGTTTAGTCAGACACTGTAATCCCACTGTGGGTTTGGTTAGGAAGGTTGAAATTAAACACGCTCATGTACATGTTGTTCTGCTGTGTGTTGTAATTGGTTGTCTTTTGATGTGATTATCGTGTTTCTTTTTTTTTTTAGACATGAACTTAATCAATTTTGTTCGTGTTATTGGAGATTGGACTTTGAGGAATACGTAGATTTTTGCTCGAGGACAAGGATGAGTGGGAAAAAAAGATAAATGTAAAAAAAAAAAAAACCGATGGATACGATGATGATGATAGGGACAGTCGTTTACAGCAACAGCAGCAGTAACAGCAACGACAGACGACAAATTACTCATGGCCATCACAAGTTGATGTGCAAACTTTCAGCAAAACCAAGAAGGAATTTGAGGTTTTACTTGGCGATGCTACATGCATACTCACAATTGGTTTGGTAGAGCTCAAGTTGCCGCTAGCTGCAATCATGGAACTGACAAGGACAATATTTACTGTGTATCGTTGACCAAACCCTGAAGGGCCATTAGCATAATTGCATATCTTTCAATTATCGAAAAACCGAGAGTTAGTGTATCGGGAAATCGGCATTAAAACTCCCCGATGAAAAGATCGATGTCCCTGTCCTAATTTTCTTGTTTCTTCATCTCGAAATATTACCGACTGGGGAATTTTGACATCCATTACGCCGGATCTATCTGCACATTCCACGGAATGGACTGCCCACTGAGCAGCCGAGACAACTGCTTTCCCGCCCCTTGCTGGGGTGGCGAGACAGCGGTAAAAATGCGGCCGGGCTGAGAGGGAAAAGCACACATCCAGATCAATTCAATTACAATCCGGAACATTATCGTTTATTACTATCGGCAAATCACCCTAAAATGCCCGCCCGTAATGGCACACATGTACATTGTGGTCGTTCACGTAACTACATTATGAACAAGCCAACGGCGGAGAAAACGCATTAAGGTGCACTCTCTAAGATTGCGTTGGGAGATTATGGTGGCCTGGTATTTTTAAAATTAAACTTCAATTATTTAGACAATCACATAATCGGCCTTAAATTCCATTTGTTTCAAATCGTGGTATTAAAAAGTAGCCATTTTGCATAGGTACACTGTTGCAACGTTGCGAGTTGCAGCTTGGTTGGCCAGTTCCATTGGGTGATGGCGGCAGCCATATTGAAAGCTGATTCTCGCAATGAAATACCGAGGTTTATAACGAGACTCTACTTAACATCTAGCAAAGCTCATTCCCTGTACACATAATTGGTGCCATCAATATTCAGTACAGGCTTAAATAGTCAAATCTGAAATTTGTAAGCAATGATTTAGGCGTCATACATTTAATACATTTTCTGCAAATTTCCGGCCGACACTCAACTAATAATATGTCTCACTCTGTAGCTTCCACAATTTGTAAAATATAGAGATGTCTTTCGATCTGCACCGTGCCAACACTAATTTGTGTGGATACAAAATAATCAAGGTCTACCAAAGCTCGACTCGATCGTCCAAGACTGTAAGATCATAGAAGCTATACCTAAAGTGCCGCGCAATTTCCTGTGTCTGATAAAATGCACAGAAACGCCGATGGCTTTTGAAAGGACCTAAAAGCCCCGCGTGTGCTGGGTTGCTATACTGCCAGAAAACATCCGACTACTTTTCCATTTCTGGAAAATCTGACCCGATTTTCTTCCCAATCGAAGAGAGAGAGAGAGAGAGAGAAAAGAATAACAACACGTGCGCTGCATGCAGGGCCATTACCAGCTTCCGTCGCGTCGCCAGCCATTAAGATGGCGTGTATCGAGGTTGATTCAAGGCGCACTCCCGTACTATTGGGTTAAAATCTTAGAATCAATCGATTAGTGTGGCAAGACAGTGGGGAAATTATCATTTCCAAATTTGTCAAACAAATAGTATTTTCTGAGTAGGGACTTTGGTATAAAACGTACAATTCCAGTAGAATGATGATCCGTGATGCCTGATTATATCTTGTAATTGCCACGTGCGAACATATACGAGAGGTTTAGCAACACGTTGCGCGAGAGAAGAAAACGTGAGCGTGACCGCGAACAATCTGCATACACGTCAACGCAACCCTAACAGATCTCAACCCATCAAACCCCAACAGCATGTTTGTTGGAATCTGTCGGGATGGGTACAGTACCCCTAAACTGACATACATCGGGTTGGCACACCTCCACAATCTAAGTCAGAAATATGTGTGTGCAGTTTCCCATAATGTGTTGGAATTTGCCAGGATGGGCATGGTTCCTAGTAAATCATGCCGGGGAGTTTGGGCTCTTTCGCATTGACGTTCGCGCATATGACGGGCAGTAAACATGTAAACACTGTTTGGCGTCAATATTTTAAATTTATGATGCTACTCAGAAATTGTCATTATTATGAGGTCTTTGCTGGTCCCAGAGGGTCAGCCTATAGGGTATGCATTGTATCTATCTCAGTACAGTCTGTCTGACTGACTGACTGACTGACTCCTCCCCCCCCCCCCGACGGACTCCCCGACTGACTCCCCGACTGTCACTTGTGTCTTAGACTGGTTACCTAACTCACTGACTGTCATTTTGTGACTTGGACTGGTAACCTAACTCACTGTCACTTGTGACTTGGACTGGTTACCTATCTCACTGACTGTCACTTGTAACTTGGACTGATTGGGAACAGCTTTATGGCTAACGTGGTCTTGTTTTATGATAATCTCTTTCTACGATCAGGGTAGAAACGCTCATAAATTAAAGCGGAATGAATAAAACGAATTAAAACACATTAAGCCAATTTCAATAAATTACTCATATGGTTATATTAATGAAATATGGAAATTATATTAACGAAATAAAGGAAATGTTATTTGTGTCCACTTCAATTTGTTCATAGCACGAAGCTGTGTTTAACCATAGAGCAAAGAATTAAAGTATAAAAATGAAATTGCCCGAATCTAAACATGCTTCTTGACTGGAAAATTATTACGAAACAGCAAGCAAACCTCCATCGAAATAAACCCAGCCTGTTACAAACGATTTTATGGAAATTTCAGATATTAATGATATCACTCATCCTTGAGGTTGTCTGGCCTGCTGCGTTGGTGAAACACTAATTGATCTCTACCCCCCCCCCCTTCGTCCTAGACCTATTAGGCCCTTCTAGTCTGCAAACAAACCACTCGTGATCACGCCAATTACGGGCGAGACATTCCTGCTGGTCTGATGAATTCATTGTGTCTTGCACAGCGATCAGAAGACTTAAAACCGAATCATGGTACATTTACCTTTCGGCTTGGATAACCCGCCCAATAAATAATCCAATAAATGTCTGTGCACATACAATTCGAACGCAGCTGATTTGAGTGAAGAAGGTACACTTGCAATTCAAATTCAAATGTCACGGTTATATCTACTGATCTGCGATCGAATTAGATCAAGATTAAATTATCCCCGAAAGAATTTTAAAACATGCCGTCTTTTTTTCTGCGATGGCCTTTTACGTCCTAAAGTGAGTCCACAAGAAACGTTAGAGGCATGTAGAGAAGCGAAAAATATAGAAATCAAATAGACATGCCCAGTTTCCGGACTAGTGCAAAATATACAAATGTAGATCCGATGTGGTGTCTCCTTCATTCCCACCTATTTTTTTTGAGCCCTCATTAGACAAATTTCGTTTAACTGGTGACCCTAGGTCGCAACATCCTCGTGCGCGGAAGTATGAGCAAACCATTCAGTTCACTGTCCTGCCATTGCCTTACACGGATAATTACATAAGGATCTCATATGAAATCACATCTCATAAGCCTGCGTACCCACAAAGGGGGATAAAATTACGCTGGTTCTGGTAGCTCCACGATATAATAGGTGACGTTTTGATCAATATCTCGCGTTTCTACCGTACGGTTTTTTCCACCAACTTTACCTTACGTGATGTCCATGGTTATGATCGCACATCGTCTGCTGACGTAAAGCAAACCGGATGTCTCTAACAATGAAGATATTTGGCTGGTTGCTATGGTTACTGTCATCTTTAGACTGCTTCTTGTCCTTGAGCGATAATCTTTCAAAAGAATCATCCAAAAGAATGTCTCGCGATTCGATCGTATATAAACATATATTCGATCGTGTATATCATATACAAATTCAAAAGAGAAAAATGTCCGTTTGGGCGGACAAAAAAGGATGAAGGCTATAGCTTTGATCATGATAACCCTTTCCCTCCTAATTACGACTTAACATGGAAACGGTTAGAAAGGTTTTTATGTAGGGTATTGCAAAAATTCAAATCATCAAACAGGCTTTGGCAATGATGCCATCTGGTATATCACAGCTCTATGCTCAAAGGAACATCACATTTTCGCCGGCAGCGTGCTTCAGTGTTTATTTAATGTAGAAAAAAATTTCGAATACGGCAAGATAGATTTTCGTTATTCTGTGTTCGCTTCGATAGTAATGCTGATGTAACCACAACAAGAATTTCAAAGTCGATCGTGTTTTTAGTGTTAAGGACAGGTATGGAAATATGAAAATGAACCTCTTTGTTTATGGAGCAGTGTTTGGTCTGAAGAACCATTTGTGAGAGTATTTTCTTTGACATTTGGGATAGTAAACTTTGTCCGTCGATGAATGCTGAATGCTTTACAGCTCTGTCGGTAGCGCTGCTGTGTTACGGTGATTCAGGGACCTAGGTTCGAATCCTGTACCAGTCAATTAACACAATTCATGTTAAAACTGAGCCTGTAGTGATTTGATGATTCATAATATATGTGTAATACCAGAATATCGATTGTCAATGATTAGTTTTTGGGGGGATTGGCAATTACGCGACCATCTCATACCAAAAAAAAAACCAAACTAATTTTGACTGAATGCATGCACGTACCGGCACAATCAATGTCTTTAATTCTTGGTCACAGTACAATATTGGTCAGTTAGTACAAAACCAATTTATGGCCAATTTCATTAATGTGCGTTCAGTGGTTTGGTGCATCCTGAGGGGCAATTTAATATCGAAGCTTTTGTATTCGGGAGGCACCGAGCAATTAACCATTCAAGGAATAAAATGGCCCAGAGTAGGAGCAGATTATCGAGCAACTTGCTTCATCTCCGTGTGGATTACACGCTTGTCACACCCAGTAATCCATCTCATGTCAAGACGTAGATCCCCCAATGCATCAAACCAACATTCACTTTTACGACCGAAAACGCGCGTTAATGGGCACAGTTCCTCGCCACGTGACCCTTAAAGAAAAAAAATGCCACTGGAGTGTCTTGAGTTTGATCGGAATTTATTGGGTATCGGCCCTTCGGAGCGAGTCAATGTCTCTGGAGTGATGCTGCGCTGAGGTTGAGAGGCAAGGTTTCCAGGGGGACTAGCGCCTTTGGAGATGCGGTGTTGGGGGACAGGTATACTCGTGCGAGACGTAGGGGGTTAACTGGCGGAGATTATCAGGCGGTCATCACACTGTGAAGCGAATGTCATTGGTGCCGGTAGAGCGTAATAATTGGCACGTGTATCTATAGGGTTTCTACAATCCGTGAAACGTCGCCGTGGATATTGTGTGCGTGGCGTGGAGGCACGCATTCTACCGTCATCGCTATTTCAATCAACAGCAGCATCAGTGACACAGCGAGCCGCGGCGGTTAAATCTGAGCCGATAGCGGCATTGTCAACCGGGCACTACGCCTTGAAGCGGCCCCGAGTGCATGTTCACGCCGGGAAAACAACAACTTTCACGGAGTGCGGAAACGCGATCTTTTAGACTGCCAGCTCCCCTTGAAGGCACCAGGCGATCTTATTTCATTTCATCCCACGGCCTGGCAACTTGCCTCCCCTCTCTTGGAGCCAGTCTGGAGAGTGCTGGAACCCTGTTCTTTTCCTTGCACCGCCGAAAACCACAACATATTAACATTCCGGAAACATGAAACACTTGTGGAACTATGTCATCTTTATAGGATGCCTAATGCAAGGTGAGTGTTTTTGTCTTTTAGCGCCGGTCGCACTGATTCATGTGCATCATGGTACGCCACGGCATAGCCCGCTTTTTGTAATTCTCTAGTCAGTTACGATAAGCACGGAGTTGTTTGTTTGCCGGGCAGCTGTGGCGTAATTATACAGCCCATTAGACCGGGTCTCCCCCTCCCCATAACCCCCTGAGCCCTCCCCGGCGCTTGTAGGTCTACCACAACTCTGTGTTGCATTGCCTTGGACCGCCGGGGACCATATTGATCCCGTTTTGCCAGCGCAACGAGAGGGCGGTGGTGGCAAAAAAATGTTCTCTGTATCGTGCATGCTCATGTGTGCGTCACTGAATTCTTATCACTATAATTCCGATTCCTCCGTGGTTATCCCACGGCATTTACCGGCGAGATAGAAAGGAAGAGTGAGATAAAGGCAAAGGAGGGGGGGGGGGCCTTCGCACCGGGGCAATTTCTGACATATTCCTCCAAGATGACATTAGTCACGGACAGCTGTGCTTCTCCTTGTTTACCTTACTCCTGTCCTCCCTTTTATGGTTCCGTAAGTTTCCAGCTATGACGAGTCTTAACATTTCCTTCCCCTGTACCCTTGGAAGTAGAATCTCCGTCACTAATTGATGGTCGTGTCATCCTTGACCTATTTAGTTTAATCGGATGTTACTGTGCAAGTCCCTTCATTTGTATTCTGAAGTATATATAGTCCGATCTTCCAAAGCTAAGGACCCTCTAGACCATGTTACATTTTGTTTGCAACTTGGATGTTCAATAGTTGTGTGGTCACGTGATGCGAACTTCAGCCAGCTTCTCTTCTGCACTGCATGCGTGTCTCTTGAAGTGTGATAGGTGTATAAGGGTGACAGACTGTGGTTGCCTCCTGGTATGACGTCACACGACGCATGGTCTATTCTTCCCACACTTTATCCTTATTGTGAAAAAAATATATAATGGCTAACAAATCTACTGAATTGCTTTCGGGGATTAATTTTGCCATGTTTGATCCTTCTTTCCAGATACCGTTAAAATACTAGATTCTAGTTGTACCGAAAACTTAAGGAATCGTTTGATGAACCGTACGCATATGTAATGGTTTCCGGATGTGCTGTCTTCTCGTTTATTCTCGTAAATTCACGCAGACACCGTTGTCTCCTCATTTTTTGGATAACGTTGGATTCCTTCCAGACCCATGGTGCTGTTCCTTAAATTGTGCTGGGCCTTCGGATTGCTGAAATGCCGCTGACTTTAATGACAATCTTAAGATGTAACACAGATGTCCAACCCTCGATGTGTTTTCATTAATTCTACATTAATTACTGACAATGATATCAAGGATTCCTTAAATGAGTTTCATTTGCACGTCTGGGAAAATATACAGTGAGTGATTTTATTTTGTTTATTTATTTACTTGTTTGTTTGCTTATTCTTTTTGTTTTCTGTGAGGGAAAACCTGAGGTTTCATGATCAACCTATTATGATCAAGTTCAGTGATACCACGTTGAAATAGATTGATTTCAACCTCTGATCTTCTTGTATCAAATATGGATAATTCATTGGTAACTGTACAAAGCTTCGCGCTCGTTCCCAATCTCTCTATTGGAATGTGGTACGGGGATCAGTGCAAATTATACAACGTCTGTATGAATCCCTGGCATTTGATTGGTGAGTCTTTAATCACGTCATTTAATTATTCGTCCCAACGGACGGCGCGGCCGCACCGCAAAAATAGACGTTCCATTTCATGGTAAATGGAGTTCCATTAATCGCCACACTTTTGGCGACTCTGACCAATCAGATGACGAGGATTTATTCAGGTGTTGCATAAAACAACAGCTAATGAATGTTTAACATTCGTGCAATGGAAAGAATAATTTCATTCGGTGACAGATGGAGTGTTCCATGAAATTATTCTTACCATTGCACTCATAAACATTCATTATTTGTATACCAACCACATCGTTTAATGCAATAAAATAAAATCTTTTAGAGAAGATGCTAAAGTGAACAATCGCAAGATGTGTTTACCAGACCATTTTGTTGCATGCCGACGCGAAATTATAATGATGATCTAAGAAGAGCCCGTCCGACTGATACACACATGTAGACAAAACGACGCCCCCATTCTGTAGGATTGGTCTCGCCCACCTCTTTCTGCATCCGTATCAATGAAGAAAAACAAAGTCCACGCAGCTGTTTACTAATAGTACACACATTTGCCAAGCACAGAATATCAGCTTAGCAAAACGTGAGACCAACCGTTATGCAATGATACAGTCTTGTGACGGGATCTCAACTGGTTTTTGGTTTAAATCGAAGTAAGATTGTGTGGCTTTATGGAGTTCGGCTCAGGCACCAACGATCTCCAGATCTGAATAGCCCATTGGCTGTTAGAAATGACGTCACTGTCTACCATCTTACTACTCCAAGAACAATAGATTTGTCCTGGGTCATTCCATAAATTTGGGGTCCAAAAGTAAGACTTTTTTGTGTCCATGTTAGTGTTACACCTGACCTGTGTCATTTGCCATTCAAGTATCATTAAAACTGACTCCACACTATTTTTTATTTGTTTGGTAGGCACTTTGCTTTACATACCGGTAATCACTCTTGGAGATATAAAGCCTTAAAGATTGTGTCCTGAATTACACAATTTTATACATGTGAGATGTAAGAGGGACACCAAATATTGGACCCCAAATGTACAGATATCTAATTAAATTGTCCTCTAGTCTTTTTACGCATCGACTTTCTCATTGTTTTTGTTTTGACGCTATTTTAATTATTTTGAACAATGGGAGTGGCTGAGACTGGTTCCCTCCTCACATTATAATGGAGGCATTGGCACCAGTGTATAGCTTCATTTTTGAGTAAAGCTCCGAACGGCCACTATATCCAGATTTGTTTCCATGGAGATCAGTGCCAGGTACCCGGCGCCTTTACGCCGCAACAGGCAAAACTCAGTCAAGCGTCGAAGCACGCACAGCAACATTAACAAATTGTGACGGGCAGAGATTGATATCAGAATTAATCACAAGTCATGCAGTGTCTGCGTGCACGTCAGAACACTGTGCGCATGCCCACTGGGCTAACACATATTCAGAGTAATACGAATTTCTGTGGCGTCACATTTTGAGTACATGTATGCACCTTTTCTTGGACAACGCTTACTGCGCCGCCAATCAATTTGACGTCACAGTTCTGACGCTGCCATCGTGACGTCATGAAAATTAGGTCTTTATTCTTTGTGAAGGCGTGGCATCCAAACCATAGCGGTAGCCATAGAGTAATGTTTAATTAATTTAATAAACCTTCATTTAATTCAATACAGATTTATCTCAATCGGTCATCTCATACATGTTTGTTTTCGCATCGTGTACTTGCGTGAGAACGAACATGATAACGACGCGAAGATTTACCTATACCCACAGTCGATGGGTTCTAGATTTAGTCGGGCTTGCTTGAATACAGTTCTTATCAACGGTAATTTAGATTTGTTTGTAAATGTGCTATTGAATCCTTCAAGTGTATTAAAGAAAAAAAAATAGATACTCTAAAAGGCATTTAAGTCTCCTATTTAACTTTAAATTTTTAAACTATTTAACTTTAAATATTATTTCATATATTTTCATGTTTGTACGAGTACACCGAGTTCCACCAGCCAAATGTATAGTACAGTTGCGAAAGTGAGAGGTCAATTTGTTGGCACGATGCTTCTCTTTCACGTCATGTGATTTTTCAGTTTCCATAAATAGAGATGCTAGTAACAAAATGTACAAAAGGCCTTTTCCGAGTGTTATTTTCTTTAGAAATCAATGTACCAAAAATAATCGAACATTTTAGAGCTTTTACATGTCAATTTCCTATTCAAGGGGCCCGGAAGCGCGCCACCAAAGGTGAACTTTCATGTTCCATTCCTTCAGCGCGACATTTTGGCACAGTGCTGTTAGCCAATAATGTTTGCCCCTCTCGTCGCGCGCGCGTCACTGCGCGAGCAGGCAAGCGTGATTGGTTCGATTAGTTTAGACAGCGTCCTGACAATAAGAGCGCACGCGAGAGAGCAAGATGCAGGCAAGATTAAAAATCAATCTTTTGATTTGATTCATGCGCAATTTAAATCATGCTTACATGGTCTGTCATCTGCGATTGCTTCAAAAAAATGAACGCAGAGTAAAAAAAAGAAAACAAGAAATTGGCATTTCTGAATTGCATAATGTTGTACTCTTTTTTTGGCCAGGAAAGTATGGATCTTGAGCATAGGTGCAAAAATAAAACATTTCAATCTCAATCTGATTGTTTAATTTCAAATATCCTCTCACGTTGTTTTCTTTGGGAGCGTAATTAAACGAACGAAAATAATTAATATAAACACTAAATATTTATGCCCGATTATTTTGTATTAAATCAAATTATGAATTACGTCGACTTTGTTTCATTTGGATATCGTCTTATTGAAAGCACCTTTCATAATGTATCCGTACCCATACAGATGGATAATTCTCTTCAATTCACCCCATACTTCGTGTTAAATATAAAAATTTGTATTTTTGTTAAAGTTATTTGGAGAAGCAAAATGTATATATTCATATTTAGGCATTACATGCTGTTGAAAAAAATGCGTTTGTGCGTCAACCTTTTTTCCCCCAATTCTTTTAGAATGGGTGTTTATGCATCGATGGACAATGTAACATGCTATCGTCCTAACATTTCGATGGGCACTTTTTTTTAATCAAGATCCGAGTAGGAATGTATGTACGACGGATCTCATTCGCTTGGTTGACAAAAAACTGATCTCTTAGATGCAATCTATCAGTTTGCATAGCATTATTTTTTAAATTTAGCTGCATGTAATCACAATTCCCTCCTACAAAGCACTTCCCGGAGTCCCGCATATACAGCCTATTAACAATTATGGAAATTGAAAATACAACCATTCTTAATGCAATAAATATCCACGACTTTTAGAGGAAGTCTTCTTGGCACAAACAGTAACAATATTT